GGATACAGCGTTGTACTGACTTGAAAGTGATATGTAGTACGGACTTTCAGTTACGCGATATTCTCGGAGAGGCAGTTTTAATAAGATCTTGGAATATTTTCGGTTTACCGAACGACGCGTATTCTGTCGACAATGGTATCATTATCACGTAAGCATACTTCTAATATCTTCGTCTGTTTCTTTTTATAGACTGAATAATGAATGTCTGTGCAGAAATGCAAGAAGGTGGCCGTTGATAATAGATCCGCAAGGTCAGGCAAATAGATGGATAAAAAATATGGAAAGGAAGAATAATTTAAACATTATTCGATTAACTCAATCCGACTATAGTCGAGTTTTGGAAAATGCGCTACAATTTGGACAGCCGGTGCTTTTGGAGCACGTTGGAGAAGAAATAGACGCTGTCCTCGAGCCGGTTCTAATGAAAGAAACGTTCAAGCAGGGTGGCGCACTTTGTATAAAGTTTGGCGATACGATCGTTGAATACAGTGATCATTTCAGGTAGTCGATATACGTACGTGCTTACGTATAATAAATCTTATGATTCTTTTCAATTCACAGACTCTATATTACCACCAAACTAAGAAATCCGCATTATTTACCAGAAATAGCGGTCAAGGTAACGCTATTGAATTTTATGATAACGCCAACTGGTCTGGAAGACCAATTACTGGGTATTGTAGTTGCGAAGGAAAGGCCGGACTTGGAGTCGGAGAAAAACGCTTTGATCGTACAAGGAGCCGCAAACAAACAGTGCGTAAACTGTAAAATATTTCTTTGCCTCAACATCGTATTGTAATTTTATCGTAACGCATTGTTTCGCTCGTTTAAGACTTCTCCAAGAAACGGAGGACAAAATTTTAGAGATTCTTTCGTTAGCGGAAGGCAATTTATTAGACGACGAAGAGGCTGTTGAAGTTTTAACATCCTCTAAGGATTTGAGTAACGACATCCAGGTGAAACAAGCGGCTGCTGAGCAAACGGAAAAATCAATCGACGATGCCAGGTTGCAGTACACTTCCATCGCAGTGTATTCGACCGTGCTTTTCTTTACTATCGGTAAACCACTCCTTGTTTCTTCAATTATTCTGGAGAAATTAATAAATTATTCCTGTCGTCGATGTTCTGTTTCAGCCATGTTAATCAACATCGATCCTATGTATCAGTATTCGTTGGCATGGTTCATAAACTTATTCGAACTGGCTATCGATAACACGGAACCAGCGGATACGGTCGAAAAGCGATTAACCGATCTCACTAAATATTTCACCTACTCTCTTTACACGAACGTTTGTAGATCTCTGTTCGAAAAGGATAAGCTGTTGTTTTCTTTCTTATTGGCGATCAATTTGCTCAAGCAACAGGGAAAACTTTCTTTGCCTCAATGGATATTTTTGCTGACTGGCGGGATCGGTATTGATAATCCGTACGCCAATCCTACAACCTGGCTACCGTCCAAACAGTGGAACGAATTGTGTAATCTGGATAGTGTCGATGATTTTTCGGTTAGTTGATGAACTACCGAACGATAATTAGCACATGAAAATCTTTGATCGTTTGATTAGGGTATTCGAGAAACATTTACACAACACGTCAAAGAGTGGAGACATTTATTCGATTCGAAGGAACCGCAAAACGGGGCGATTCCTCCACCATTTCACAAATTGAATTTGTTTCAAAGAATGTTGATACTGAGATGCATTCGTCCTGATAAGATAATTCCAGGTGTACAAAACTTTGTCGAAGGTAACGCTGTTCTTCAATATTCTCTAACATTATAATATATGTACTTGTATGCCTACTTTTTTAGAGCAACTCGGTTTACAATTCGTCGAAGCACCACCCTTTGATTTACCTTCGTCTTACGCTGATTCGAATTGTTCCACTCCGTTAATATTCATCCTGACCCCTGGTACCGATCCGGGTCAGTTGTTGCTCGCGTTTGCGGATGAACAAGGTTACAGCGTGAGTCGTCTGTTTTATCTTTCCTTGGGTCAAGGTGAGCATCTGTTTTAAGGTTCTACCAAAATCCTTTGGTTAATAGTATAAAATATTGCTGTTTTATGCATATGTTATAGGTCAGGGACCAGTTGCTGAGGAAACGATTCAGAAAGCAGTGATGGTCGGTAACTGGGTAGTTTTACAAAATTGTCATTTGGCGATTAGCTGGATGGGCACTTTGGAAAATATCTGCGAAGGTCTGATACCCGATACGATTCATTCGGAATTTCGTCTCTGGTTAACGAGCTATCCGTCGGAACACTTTCCTTCCTCGGTACTGGAGAACAGTATAAAAATGACAAACGAACCACCTAAAGGGCTAAGGGCTAACATCCTCAGGTCGTACACGAGCGATCCGATCAGTGATCCGGACTTCTTTGAATCTTGCTCTCAGCCAGAATATTTCAAGAAGCTACTTTATTCGTTATGCTTCTTTCACGCGATCGTTCAGGAAAGACGAAAATTCGGTCCGATCGGTTGGAACATTAGCTACGAATTTAACGAGACCGATCTACGGATCAGTGTTTTACAATTACATTTGTTCCTCGACGAATTCGAAGACGTGAGATTCGATGCTATCAGGTATCTGACTGGAGAATGTAATTATGGTGGAAGGGTGACAGATGAGTGGGATCGAAGAACGTTGAACACTATCCTGTCTAAATTTTATTGCGCGTAATTAAATACATTTGCGTATATTATACGATCTTCACTATTATTATATTTTTAACAATGATTCTGCTATGATTTTCCAGGGAGTTGCTCGACGAAAAAATCTATTACTTCGATGAAACTTCAACGTCTTATTATGCTCCAAATTTACGAGAATTTGAAGCCTTCATGGAATATACCAGAGACTTACCTTTAATTACCCAACCAAGTGTTTTTGGCATGAACGAGAACGCTGATATCATTAAAGACCAGCATGAAACGAACCTTCTGTTCTCGTCACTTATATTAACTCAGGTAAATTTCTGTTTTCTTTCACTTTCTATACGTTCTTTCATTGGAACGAAGCGAGCGAAGCTCCGCTATTAAATAACGCTTAGTAATTAGATAGATTCGCGAGTAATAGAGTAATTAAAGTTACTTTTACTGCAAATCAATCGCTTCGCTCCAGTATGTCAGCTACGAAGCGGATGGCGGTCTAATTAATTATTAAACGTATGTTTTATTTCATTACTGTAACGACATTTGTTCAGGATCGTGTGGTATGTATGCGTCGTTGCATATTTTACAGCAAGTACAAATGAGTTATGTTATTTAAATCAAATGAAAAATGATTTATTTGTACTTGCTGTGTTTATTATTTTTTATTGGATCTTTGTTAATGTTGCATTGCATATCTTGTTACGCATTCAGGATAGGCGATGGCCGATTAAGGTTTGTAAATTGACGACATACAAAGTAACATTAAATGATAAGAATTATAATTATGAAAAGCAATAGTTATTCGGTAATCAGATCCTCTAACGTTCTCTGTTTCTCCTAGGAAAGCGTTGAATCTGGAACTGGACTAATATCAAACGACGAAATAGTATTTAAAATGGCAAGTGATATTTTACAAAAACTACCAGCCGATTATGATATCTTATTGGCTCTTAAAAAGTACCCTATGTCTTACGGACAAAGTATGAATACAGTTTTGGTACAAGAAATGGGCAGATTCAATAAGCTTACTGGCCACGTTAGAACAAGTCTGCAAAATATTAAGCGAGCTATCAAAGGTTCAAACGATTACATCGATTTTTCTATATTTTATTATTGAAAGCTAATTTATACCTATTTATGATTCCGTAGGTTTTATTGTAATGTCTTTTGAACTTGAAGATATTTATGAAGCAATTTTGACTAACAAGATACCTGCTTTATGGTTGCGATATTCGTACCCATCATTGAAACCACTTGGTAGTTATATTCATGATTTGTTGGCTCGTTTGAATTTCCTTCAAGTAAGACATTATCTTCTTCAGCAGAAATTCTCAAAACCATCATTTGCATAAATATTATCAAAGTATATTGTATATTGATTTTTAGAAATGGTACGACGAGGGACCACCAGTCATTTATTGGATTTCGGGATTTTATTTCACTCAAGCATTTCTAACAGGAACTAGACAAAACTATTCGAGAAAATATCAAATACCTATAGACTTATTGATTTTCGACTTCTTCGTGTTACACGTACACGAAATTCCTCATTCTCCTCCCGAGAATGGAGTCTATATACATGGACTGTTTTTAGACGGCGCTCGATTCAATAATGAACATATGACATTGGACGAAAGTTTTTCGAAAGTACTTTATGAAAGCATGCCCCGTGTAAGCATATTTTCATTGTTCTTCCTCTTTAATCCACACTCCTTTTTCAATTTGCAATTTCCTCTCTTACTGTCGATCCAGATGTGGCTGGTTCCAGTGAAGAAAGAAGATATTAAAAAGAGACCTACGTATCTTTGTCCTGTGTACAAAACTAGCGAAAGAAAAGGCGTTTTATCAACCACTGGACATTCGACCAATTTCGTTATTGCTATGACTTTACCTACTGCAAAACCGCCAGAACATTGGATCATGAGAGGAGTAGCTTTACTTTGTCAGCTTTCTGAGTAAAAATCAATATAAAATGATTAAATTAATCTGTAACTATATTTAATGTTTTCATTGAAGATAAACACTATAAGAAATGTAATATGACTCTTAAATTTAACGAAGAGTTGAAGAATTCACAACGCTAATAGGATTCAACAAAGGAGGAATACAATTTATTTTGCTCTTTTATTCTTTCAATTTGAATTTTCATCTTTGCTTTATTATATTTTAATTCTTTTGATTTGTACATTATCTGAATGATCATTCGAATCTTAATTCAATGTATTTAGATATAATTAGATGATTCAACTGATAATGTACTTCATAGATGTAAAGATAAGAAATATTGCATGTGTGTGGGTAAATAGTATTGCTTATCCAAGACAAAAAGTGGCAGTATAACGCGCCGAGAGAATCCATTTAAAGATGGCTTCCAATCGAATAAGGTGCTGCCGTGTGATGTCAGTTTGAGACGACGTTTCGACGTTGTAGCTCGTAAAAAGTTCTTTACTGCTGTAGGATCCAGCTAACATCAACGTATCTAATTGAAAAATCAATTTCATAAAGAATGGAATAATTTTCAATAACAATAATGAATTGTCATCAAATATTAAGCGGAGCTTGCAACGCAGGTGATCGTTGCTACGCTGTCGGCTCTGTTGAAGGAATTTCTTTCACTGTAAGGAATTTCACATCTTGTTTTCTAATTTTATGAAGAATTACTCACGTTTCACGATTCTATTTTAACATATCAAATTTCATACTATATCTACGAATCATCGAAAATACTTTTCTATTCATTAAAGAACAATGTATAAAATACTTCTAAACGTCATACACTAATTAAACAAACACGTTTGACGTACTTTTTAAAGTACGTTATCATATGCGTTGCTTCTTCTTGATTACTATAATATTTGTTGAATTTTTATGCATCTCCATGTAATGTTGAGCATTTAAATATATCTAACTGTTACGTATGATTATAAATTATGAACAAATTAAATAGAAATTAATAAATAGAGATCCAAATATCGACAATATATTTTTCAAAGTTTTGCTTTCCTGATATATTTTTAAATAAAATAATCTGTTACAGGCATATGCAGCGGGATGCAACATAGTAATCTTAGCCAGTAACTTTGAAAGAGTTCAAATAATTCCAGGAGCTGTACATAACTATATAAGAATTAGTTGTTTGGACTGCAGTACTGATACAGGAAAAATAGCAGCAGCCTATGAAAATCAAGTCTGCATTTTTGAGCCTACTCCCCTTATCCACAGCACGTGCTCTCATGTTTGTGTCTTTTCTTTCTATTACATCACTTTATTGCTATATATATATATATTGCACGGTATTGTAAGATAATTTGTTTTACTAATATATAGCAACTGGAGTATCGATGGGTTCAAACTGGTAGTCTGACCACAGATTCAAATATTACCTCTTTGTCATGGAACTTGGAAGGAACAAGATTGTTAACTGGTGGAGAACTTTTACAGCTATGGCATCAAAATATAGTTCCTTTTCAAAAAGAACACAGTAAGCTCCTTTTATTAATTTTGTTTAATTTTACATGTTTATGTAATTAACATTCCATTTAGTTCCATCTATTTAAATTTACATAATACCACTTGTCTCATTTATCAAAGTAATAAAATTGTGTACAGCGACAAAGGAAAACACGTTACGAACACAAGAAGGTGTTGTAACTGGACGCGAAGAAAATACTTCAATTATTCTTCCCGAATGTGAGTTTGTTTAATTAGGAAACATATGTACCGACGTAAAGTCGAACAATAATACATGTGGGCAAAGTATTGTGTGTTGTAGTGTGTTCATATTAATGTAAATATTAAACAACTTTAACTTTCAAAGGATCATTTCATACTAAACGTTATTGCTTTAAGCTTTGACGTCTTGCCGCTTTAACGCATCATCAGTAAGAAAAATAAATTATAAGTAACAATCTGTTTCCTGATTAACGTTCTTATTTATTTAAAATAAAGAGAATGGTCTGTTTCGTAAAGCCTGGATTTATAAAAATGAAAAATGTATATATATATAAAAAGATATAATTTCTTTCTAGCGAGTACTGTTACATTCTCGATCGGTGGAGATGCCGAAAGTCCGGCACCTAGTGATACAGCTACTGGAAATGAACCAGGAGCGTGGAACTGTGTTTGGAAATGTCGTACAGCTACACCAGTACATCTTATGAGTTTTAGTCCAGATGGTACATTATTTGCAACAACAGGATTTAACGATAGATTAGTCAAGATATGGTTTGAGAATAAACAATGTAAGATTTCTGTGTCTGATGAATATAAAACACTTAGCTTTTATTAATCATTAATTCAAATAAAATTACATAGTATTTACAACAAGAAATATCGATCATACAAATGCGTCGCAGTCCATGGGTAACGACAGTTATAGCTTTGTCTACATCGCTCATCCTCGAGCGGTAACACATTTATCTTGGCGCAAAACTAGTAAACATATGCCTAAGTACGTACAAAGGATATTTAAAAGTAATCGATAATGATAATTAACTAATTTTCATAAATTTATTATGCTTTGTTTAGGGGAGCTGTCTCCAATATGTTGGTTACATCCTGTAGGGATAACATCTGCAGAGTATGGGCAGAAACAATACCACCCGAAGTCGAAGGCTTAGCTAATATGAGTCAGTTTGAAGGTTCCGATAGACATGGTCATCATGGAAAACATCGGCATCATAATATGCACAAGCATCGATTTATGCAACGACTCAAGCACATGAAGTGCGTTCACTGATACTACATTTCTTGATATTTCAAGATTTTTGTTTCGTACATTCACTTTTTAATACTTAAACAAAATATATATATATACTTTTTATAGAACATGTTTCCATATTCGTCGACATGCAAAACAGCAACATCAGGCAGGACATGCCACAGCTCCAACGTTACCAACATTACCTTCCACATATTCGGTGCACGATTTTCACAATAATTACCAAGGGACAGGCCAATATCCAGGAATGCATTTTCATTTGGCAGCTAGTATCAATGCTGAAACGGGTACGTCGGATTTTGTTCTTTCTTTCCTCTGTATCTCTTTTCAATGAAATGTTTCATATTTCAGATATACCATTGGTACCAAGTTTGATTACTGGAGATCCTGAAAGAGAGCCAAATTTTATTCTCCACTGGTTAAATAACAAGGAAATGTACTTTACGATGCAAGCGGAAAGTTTTTTGCAAGAGCTTGCTCGTATAGTAGTGGAGAAAGAAGAAGGGTTGCACCAACAGGATGCAGAACGTCCGGAGCACGATTCCGAGGAAGAAGGCTTGAGTGAGTTTCTCGATGTGACGTCGAAATTTAATCGAACGGTGATTATAGGTGATAAATGATATAATTTAATAATTATGTAATCATAGAAAAAGGAGTACGACTGCAACCTATCCAAAAACCAGGAGGAGGCACAATCCGGTCGACGAGCCAGGAGGAACATAGTAGTGACGAACATCATACAACTCACACAGTTTCATCGCATCATAGTTTACCACATAGCGTACATAGTAATCTTTCTCACCAAAGCTTAAGGTACGACATCGTCAATGTTTTCATTGTATTCCCTAGTTCAATTATTACTATCGTTCTTCTTCGTTTATATAGCAACACTACATCCATTAATTCCATTGCAACGGATGTAACATCTTCGATGAACCATGCCCCGGATTCTCTGGATACCAAAATAGAAACATTGTTACGGGATTGGCATCACAATCCGGATTTATTATTTTCAATTCATCCAATAGACGGAAGCTTTTTAATATGGCACATTGAATGGTTAGACGAGTATCATCCAGGCTCGTTCCGGCAAGCTCAGATATCATTTTCAACGCGAATACCTAACGCTTTTCCTCTTGGAGACGCTTCAACAATGAGCCATAGCGTGTCATTGTATTCTCACAATACCGGAGGTCCATTGTTGAATATAAGAGAAGTGGCAAAATCATCCACGAAATCATCTAATGAAGGTAAATCTATTTTAGTATTCCAGTATTTAGTAAAATCGAATCCTATAATGTTCTGACAAATTTTTTTATGGATCCAGCTACTGAGATTGCAACACCGTTACCGAGTTTGATCGAACAAGACGAAGAACAGTCTACGTTAACTTCGAAAGCAGGACAGGAATTGTTAAAAAATTTAGAGAACTCGTCCGATCCAAATCAGAATGCTAACAAAGATAAGAATGGACAGTTGGAAAATGGCAAAACAAATCAGGAAACGTACAATGATTTATTAACTCATCCGAGTCCTATAGTTTCCATGGTGACGAAGCATTCGAACGGAACTTTAAACTTATGGCAATTGACGTTTGCCGACAAAACTAAATTTTCCCAAGTAAACGATCAAATACATACACACATGCTACTGTCTATACACCCTTCCGTTTATCATATGGAATCGTTTATTTTCTACAATAGGTATTAAGTATTGGACATGCCTCGAGAGCTTCGGGACATCGTTTCCGAGTGAACGACATCACCTGTCATCCGGTGTTACCTTTACTGGTGACAACGTCGCATCATAACATACCAGAATCCGGATCTCAATGTAGGAACTCCGATTCGAGCGAAACTATTGATAGCAAATCAGATCCTAACAAAATGACGAAAGAGCTATCCCCTACCGTAAGTAAAAATATGTAAAATGAATTGAATTTGAACTGTTGATTAACCACCAATCTATCTTACTATTGATAATTTAAGGGATTCTGCAGTGAATTGATACTTTGGCGCGTAGACACGGTCGGGCCTTTGTCGAAAAGCGGCGGTGTCTCTGAATTAGCTCGTATCAATTCTCCTGAGATCTCAGCGTTCAGTAACGTGGCATGGATTCCAACTTTGTTACCAAGTACCACCTTGGGTAATTTATCAAATTCTCCAAGCGCATGTTTCGTTGCTAGCGATGGCGAGTGTTTAAGAGTTTATCAGGCTGTTATCGACGCTAGAACTTTGCTAGCTGAAGTATCTAGCAGCGAAAGGCGAAGCAGAATGATGGTAAGCTCGATACGTTTAAGAATTTAAAGGGGTTATTAATTCAATTCGTTGCCTTTTGCGCGTCTAGGACTCCATGGCAAGTCTCTCAACAGATATATCATCGGACGATGGAATCAGACATTCGATTCACGATAAAATAAAGATAGTATCTCAACAATCGACAGCAAGACCAGGTTGCGTGATACAGTTGGATGCTATTTCCGACGCTACACACGTAAGTACTTTATAAGGAAATCATGATTAACAAGAATAACGAATGAAGTTGGATTTGTATAAATTTAGGACTGGCAGAATACCCAATTTTTGCACGTGTTCCAAGAACAATTGATCACCGGTGATCGAAATGAAGAGAAGCAAGCCGGTGTCGATACATCGATAAATGATTTAGGTTTGATGGAGTCTACTTTAGATGCTATGGTAGACTTGCAACAATCGGCGATTTTCGAAGAACCATTCTACATTGTTGTATTAGAGAGAACGCAACAGGGTACAACGGTACATATGTGGCGTTTAGTTATAGCCTCTCAGCCTGAAACTACCGGTAGATCAGTTGATAAATTAATATCAATATCATAGGGGTTGAACAGCTTACTTTTATTTTTTATTTTTTTTATTTTCAACAGGATTATCAGGTTCGATGATGTACGTTCCTGATTCTCATTTGGTACAAGACGAGGAAGAGGAAGGAACACCCTCGCGATACCATCAGGAAGGTAGAAGATCTCGAAGACCGAGTCAGTCTCGTCGCGAGAGCCAGGGCGAATCCGATACGTTTTTCCAAAGACGAGCAAATCAAAATAGTCACGTTCTCATTACGACCACGAAAGTATGCACTCAGGAATTACCATTGCCGGACGGAGTTGAGGTTCGTGTCGTATTCTTTTATTGCATTCCTTCATTTTTTTTTTTTTTTTTTTGTAAAGAAAGAAAAATGGGTAGATACGAGTATTTTGTCGACGCGTAGGTAATACACGCGGCACCAGCTGCTGGACATTTGAGCAGCTCTTCCATATATCCTGCTTGTTTCGCACCGTATATTATAGTGACGGCGTGTAGCGACAGCACGATACGCTTTTGGAAGTGTAAAGTGACGAAGGATCCACCCGACGATAAATTACAGTACGAATGGTGCGAATGGGAAATGATACGAAAAGATCAAGAATCAACGATCGATATTACAGGTAAATTGAACGCTACGTGTTATAAAGAACGGAGGGAAAGGAGGAGAATAACAATTATTTGTTATGGGATATATTTTAGGACAACCATTAAACGTAAGCGCCGCGTATAGCGGACGTATTGCTTGCGCGTACAAGTATGGTAAATCATTTACACGTCCTACCAAGAGCGACCCAGACTCACGATACGTAAATTTATGCGTGGCCATATACGAATGCGAAAGTACCGGTGGGAGCGAATGGATTTTGGAGGATACTATACATTTAAAGAATATACATTTACCGCGAATACCCGTGGATCAGCATTTAGATCTAAGCTATCTGTACGATAGTAGATTTTTGCAAAAGAAACAAAGGCTAACTCAAGTATTACAAACGCTTAGTCACGAGGATGTAAGATTACCGCGGAACGGAGAAAACGGAGAAAGTACAAAGTCTAATGCAGGTAAGCAAAGATATACTGTATCAATGGAATCGCGCTATAAAAACGCTTTTGTTTTTCCAAAGGTTTACTGGCGGTTCCATCATTTAGCACTCTTCAGTCATTACGGAAATCAATTATAGAGAATGGCAATACTTGTCCACTCACGCAGAAACATTTGGTTCAATTGGATTGGGTATCGAAAGAAGATGGTTCTCATATTTTGACTGTTGCCGTTGGATCGAAAATCATGCTATTCACGCCGGTATGCTCTGATCTTGCCCAGGCAAATATGAAAGCGATGAAAGAATCGCAGAGTAACAATCGACCGATATTACGAAAAGCCTCGTCGTTGGCACAGCCACAGTTTGTCGACGAAATTCGTTGGATGAAATTACGAAAAATCGAGTTGACCACGGCGGACGGTTTGCCTCCTCTGCCCATGCAGATATCCTGGGTGAGGGACGGTATTTTGGTGGTTGGGATGGATTCGGAAATGCACGTTTACTCGCAGTGGAAACCGAATCCGAAAAAAGAGTGTTTCCATTCGAACTTGCAACACCAGGAATCAGACGAGTTTCAAGCTAGTCGAAACCTACGGGACGAGGATTTGCGAACGTTGGCGAACGAGACGTCGCAAAGGCGACTGGCCAACGTATCCTCGATGCCTCATCTGTCTCGAGTGAGCAGTATCAATTTAACGATGCTCGATGCGAAGAAGAAACGAGGAATGCAAAGCGAGAACATCAGTTTCGATTACATGCCGGATTACGGTCTCTTCGAGGCTTCGAGGATCGCTTGTCCCGTTCTTCCACAATATCATCCAAAGCAGTTGATGGAATTATTGAACTCCGGTAAAATTCGATGGGTAAAAGCGATATTGGCGCATCTGGTCAGATGCATAGGAAGTTCTTGCTCGTTGAGAGCCGACGACGAGAGTCTGATGAAACAACGAGGAGGTGCATGGTCCCGTTCGAGAACAATGTCTGTCAGTTACGTCGGTACAACGTCCCCTCTCGAATCTAGAGGCTCGACCACTCAAATACCCGAGGAATTGATGTTGGATTATGCAGAAATAACCTCGATATCACCGTTACCTCTTTGGACTTTGTTAATCGCGGACAAAGAAACGAATTTACCGCATCAGCATAAAACCGAGGATAAGCACGATTACAACGAATTGTTCGACAGCAATTTAGACGAAGGCGAGTCGTTGGACGATATGCTGGAGGAAGATTACGATTGTTCGCGACAGAAAGACAGACGTTCTTCCGTGCCAGAGCGACAAGGTATATCGCATTTCGGGCCGAGACAGGGTAGATTACTGTCTCGATTGCTAACGCATACTCACCTGCCTGGACTCTCGAGTCTCGATCAGATGCATTTACTCGCATTGGCCGACACCGTGTCCACCTGTAACGTAGACTTTGCCGAAAGATTTGCGATCGATGCCGCGAAGAACGCGATCGCGAAGGAAAATCTCACCGGCATACCTGACGGAGAGACAATCTCGACCGATTCTTTGGACGATTGCGGCCTTCGATTTTTATTAGCCATGAAGCACTACAATTATCTGATTCGATGCCTCCCACTGGCTCAGAGAGCACACTTCCAGAAACAGGGTGTTTCCTCGAACAACCTGGTATGGGCGTTTCATTCCGAGACCGAGGAAGAACTGTTGGGTTTGATACCCTCCTACGCGAAGGGCCAACCAAAGTGGAGCGTTTTGAAGGAGCTTGGTATCGGTTGGTGGATCCGAAGTAACACAGTGCTGAAGAGATGCGTTGAAAAGATTGCAAAGGCAGCTTACCAACAAAAGCAAGAACCTCTCGACGCTGCGCTTTATTATCTGGCTATGAAAAAGAAGAATCTCGTTTGGGGTCTATTCCGAAATAAGAGAGACGACAAGATGACCAGTTTCTTCGCGAACAATTTCACGGAGGTTCGTTGGCGGAAAGCAGCTTTAACGAATGCGTTCGCTCTCCTCGGGAAACAGAGATTCGAACATGCCGCGGCATTCTTCTTACTGGCCGGAGCCCTTCGGGACGCTATCGAGGTGTGTTTGGACAAATTAAACGACATACAGCTGGCGATGGTAATCGCTAGACTCTACGAAGACGATACCACATCGCCGAACATGAGACGTTTACTCTATGAAGAGATATTAGGATACGACAAGGATGGCCAGTGTCAAGATATGAACAAAGCTCATCCGGATCCGTTCTTGCGCAGCATGGCTCTTTGGATTCTTAAAGATTACGCTGGATCACTGAACACATTGCTGTTAACGAACGTTGGAACTTTGCATCCGCAATACAACGACGAATCTGATAAACCTGAAGGGACGACAGGTGAACTAGATACCTACAGTGGCTCGGATGCTCTTTAAAACAGAATGTCTTGAGGTTTTTTAATTATAGGTTCACATAAAAAAGTTGAAAAATTACCCTTCACTATTTTCTTTCACGATTTCAACAAATTGTAATTTTTTAAAACGACAAAATCACATATCTTAGTAAATTAATTTGTATAACTTCTCAAAAAATTTCAAGTCATTTGATCCAATTTTAAATGAGGTATTCTGTTTTAAAGAGTGTCCGAATACTTTTCTCTATCTTTGCTACTTCATCTTCTTACCATTTCTTTTCCTCTCATTTCAGTTTCAGCTAATCCGAACGTGTTCAATTTTTACGTGTACCTTCGTACGCATCCGTTGCTAATCAGGCAGTACATCGCGTCCACCGCTCAAGATAAGAAAAAGGGTCATTCGGTGGTTATATCTGGCTTCAGTTACGGTACAGATACCAAGACTCAGCCCGACAAACAATTAATGTTGGAAGATAGTATTACGCCGTTAGAAAGACAATTGTACTTCACGACAGCGCACGCACATTTCAAAGCCGGATGTCCGGCACTTGCTCTCGAAGTTCTCTCAAAGCTACCCAGCAAAGTGATGGACACGAATTGCGAAGATTCACCCAGTACGTAACCATACGAAACTATATTTCTCCTTCTGTTACGGCCTTTTGCTTTGATGTAACTGAAATTTATATGAATATGCCGACAGGTTTGCTAAACAGTCCAAGTAAAGCGAGGACGCAAGACTTCCAAATAGACACTGGTATCATTACTTGGAACGAGGACCATTCGAAGCAAACCAGTAACGACACAGGTACATTTTCCTATTTCAATTCCTATTAGCTTTCGATGCTATTCAGGTTTAAATAAATAAATTCGTATCAGGTGCCGCGGTCCTTGACTGGTCTGAACCTGTGACGAAACAGACCGAGGATGAATTGGTGTTGAACTGGGAGGACGACGAGGCCGAACAGGGCGACAGTGATAGCCCACCTTTAAGTATGAAACTGGATAAAAAGGAAACCGATGACAATCTCGCAGATGCAGAAAAAGACGGTAGAAATTGTTTTCGATGCGCTTACTAATCTTAAGAATCTTATTAGGAAATAAACATGATCGTATTAATCGAACTTATAGAGAAAGCGAAAGCAGCGGGTCAACTAGATATTATGGCGCAACAATTAAAATTTGTGGCTTGTTTAAAAATTTTAATGGAAGAATTGTCAACATTGGCAACGGGTTTCGAAGTGGACGGAGGACAACTTCGATATCAGTTGTATGTGTGGTTGGAAAGAGAGGTTGAAGCTCTTAGGCAGCTTTGCAGTTACAGTGTCAATGCGGATGGAGACGCAAACAACGCACCGGAATGTAAGAGTAGTGAAAACTTTGTCACGACACCGATTTCGAGATGGACGAAATTAATAATTATTTCTTCTTCAGACGAGGGTGGTATGGTGGACGATGTGCAATCGTACAGGCCTGGCGAACAGCCAACGTTACACGAGATACTAGTGGCTGACAAGTTGGACTTCGAAGCTAAAGTGCAGCGAGCTGTCAAAAGAAAGAAGTGGCTGAAAGGTGAAATTATATCTCTTCCTCTCTCATTATCTTGTATACTACAGTGTTACTAAAACATTGTAAATGCTTGCTTTCAGCAAATGAAACGTTACTGAGAACGTTATTATCCTACTGCTCGTTACACGGAGCGTCCGGTGGCGGTTTAGCATCGGTAAGAATGGAACTGGTTCTTCTGTTGCAAGAATTGCAGCAGGAGAAAACGCAACAACAATTACTTAGTCCTCTTCCGTTCCCAACTACGCTTCCTCTGCTAAGCGCCAGCGTTGCGTGTAATAAAACCGTTGTAGCGGATCCAGTTAGGCATTTGCAGGTACGAAACATTGCAGTATTTCCCGATACATGGGTGTTCACGATATTAATAACGAAATCTTCTTTTTAGTCTCTCGCTCACGACATGCTGCAGACATTGGTGGAATTGCGTAATCCACCAATGCCGACGAGAAACACGCATTATTGTGAAGTATTTATAATGAGGGATTTAGCGGTAGCTCTAAGTGCTTGCATCTATCAGTCGCTTTGCGATTCCGATACTTTCGTTATGAAGCATCATCAACCAGACAGGTAAACGATTCTGAATCGTCGTCTAATTTGGAAAGATGGTTTGTTTAAACCTTACGGTTCATTAAACGTTGCCGACTCTCTGTACATAGTTTCCCAGCTGTTGCCGAGATAGAAACATTTTCCGGTGGACACTTGGTAGCCTCGAATCGTCATCATCGAAGATTCTCGACGGACGATGGCGTGTGCATTACCACGACACCTTCGAAATGGCCAGGCGTGACCAATTTGCGTGCACTGTTAGCCCGGGAGAAGGACGAGGACACGCCGAAATTGAACGTTCTTCTATGCGAAGCATTCGTGGCTACTTATATGAGCTTGTTCGTGTACGCCATGTGGAGTTGCGACAGTCACATTCTATATAGACTGGTGGGTCAGCATTTCGATAACAGTACATGGTCCTGTCTTTTTGGAGGTGGAGTGAAAAAATTGTTACGTGTTGCGAGCACGAGCAGTCAGGTATGCCAACGATAGTTTCTCAAAAAATTCTTTACTTGCCCTTTCGTTTTTATACCATTCGTTTGCTGTCGAATCGAATCGTCTAGGCGAGTGGATCAGGAACGACGGAGAAAGTAACGAGCGGTAGTATCGACGCCGGTTCGAGCGAAATACAAACCGCCGCCGGTGCCATGTGGAACACCATGGCTTCGTTGACGAAGCAACGGGTTAAATTGAACATGAAACTGTTGGGTCCGTTCACCGGTCAACAACCAAATATGAAAGAAGACAAACCAACGTATAGAGAACAATTCGTTTCACCTCAGATGAGCATGATATCGTATTTCTTGATGAAGGTAAATTATTTAATTTTGAACAAACGGCCACAAATTTTCTCCGTTTTCTACAATACTCTTACTCGTTTTTCTGTCAACGCGTAGCCACAGATAGATAGCGAGTACGCGGACGAGATCGATTACGATTCGTCCGACTCTGCTGTTTCGGATTTAGACTCATCCGAGGAGGAGGAAGACGTATTCGATACCAATTCAAAACCAAAGACTAGAATAAAGGATAACACGGAGCATTCGAATCCGAATTCGTACAGTTGGTGCGTGATGAGGCTAGCTATAGCGAGAATATTGCAACAGCAACTTCAAGATTTCTTAAACGTAGCCGGGATCGAGATGCAAGGTTAATACCTTACTGTAATAATTTACAGTAGCGATACCTTACGGACAGATTGGACTGTAGAGAAGACCTTTTTAATGTTTATGTACAGAGTTACCTGTAAATAGTCCTCTAATTCATGGAACGCTGGCTGTGGTGGCGCAGTGGCAAGAAACGTTACGCGAGGAATTAGACAGCAAGGGACCACCGCTGGTTAATTACATTCCTGGTTGTGCACCGGATCCAACGCCTACACCGGGCAAACCAGCGATTCACAAATATCGTTCGTTACTTGAAAAGGGGAATACACCGTTCAAGTAAGAGGAATCAATCTGATTCTCAGCATCCTGTTCACCGAAATTCTAATTTAACGGCTGCCTGTTGTTATGTTTAGTACGCGTTTAGCATCAGCGGCCCCTGCTAATCGATTATGGTGCTATTTAGTTAGACAAGAATCGGTGCAAGACATCTTTATTCGCGCTGTATTCGGCAAGCGTAGATGTTTGTCGTCGATTTTAGAAAATAATCAAAATACGATCGACAATTTGAATCGAGGAACAGCCGAAGATAAGGGTAGCGACAGTGGAACCACCAGTTTGCCCGAACCTGTTCGAATTATTCACAAGGAACAAGATAGCATCAGTGCCTTTTGCCTAAATCAGGTTTGACAAATTTATCGGTATTTCATTTCCTGTCGTTTCATTTTATTTAGAAGGACAACAACGTTGATTTTTAATTAACAATAACAGGTCAGTCAAGGTTTAATGGCTTTGGCGACCCCCCGAGAAGTACAAGAAATGAATATATCCTTGTTACTCGAGCTTCCATCCTGGTTAGAAGACGAATGCGAGTTCGACATCATCAATTTGAACAAACAACCAGAGCCTGAACCGGTACAACCAACTAGCTTTTTGGTTATCCAGGTAATCCTAAACAAATCCCTTGTCTGTGTAATATGTACTCTTGTTCGTGATATTTTAATCCTGTTTCTTGATATGTAGACAGCGGCAGATCGACCATTACTAGCTCAGAGCCCACAACCGAACAGTCCGCAACCTCAATCGGGTATCGCAAGTCAAAGTGGAAGAGGAGCTAGCGTGGTAAGCTCTTTCTAAAGATCAATTAACGAACGTAACTCGCTCTTATATTAATCATCGAGCACTGTACAGTCGTGTATTTGTCTTTATGAAGATTTATAAGTTCACATCGTGCCGTACCGTACCGTGCCGTATCGTGTCGTGTCGTGTCGTGTCCCCGCTCAGACCTATCCAGATGTTTCTGATACATATCACCCAAATACGTTATTTCCCTTCGTATGTACATATCCGCGTGTTTGTTGCATTAAAAGAAAAAAAGGTGAAGAAACAAAGCGAAAAGAAAAATAGGAAGAAAATCAAGAAGAAGGAGAAGAGGAAGTAAAAATTGAAATCATTGCTTTTCGCGAGAATATGTATACCGTATAACGATGGCTTAAGCGAATGATTTTCAGTGAATGGGAAATGTTTATGCGAATTTGCACCGCATTGGTGAACGTTTTAAAAAACGCGGTCGGAACGCGATTATCTGAGGCTTGTTTCTCGCGAACGATCCTATCACTAACAAACTTCCAGATCACTTTAGAAAGACATATGGTTATTGATCGTTGAAGGAGTGAAAAATTCGCGGGAGGAAAGCCTCGATAATCGTAAATGAATACGTATCGAGTTACGAGTAGCCGACGCACTGGGTCGCGTAAACGTAGCACATCTGGTGACGGAAACAATGTTCCTTGTTCAATGCTTGCCTAACTTGGTCTAACTTGGTTTGCGTCTGACCGACGTCACTGACCTGGTGGCTCGTTCGCTCGCTCAGATGAAGGGGATGCCCGCTTTTCCTGGCTCCCACGACCTACGTTTCTGTCAGTTTGTTGCCGATAGGAGCAAACACTTGTTGCAACCGGTGAGATTAACTTCTAACAGACCCCTAGCCTGTATTATAATCATAATCTCCTGACATCCTGGCGTCGATCTTATACTTGGTTTCTTCTTTTTTTCATTTTTCTTCTTTTCCCTTTACCGTTTCTTTTTCATCTTTTTTCATTTTATATTTCATTTTCTTCGCGTATCGTTAACGAGCCGCCCCATTTTCTACCGATACTAAGAGTAAAAAATTCAATTTAGTTGTTATGTCGCATCGAATAATCGTATCTCCCGTTATGTATTATATAATAATCGACGCGACATAATGCTCCTTGGCAAGGCATGTCACTGTGAACAGAAACCTCTTTCTTTCCTTAACTTCTTTTCGGTTTTACTATCGTCGATACCGTTTAGCATAGCGATTGTGAAATATTTCCGTTTGCTATTATAATTATTATCACCATTATCATTATTGTATCGTCGTCGTCATCATCACTGTCAACAACATTATTATTGTTATTGCTATTGCTGTTGTTACTGTTGCCGCCATCATCATCATCATTATCATCATCATCGTTGTCTTAATGTTCATTATCCATCGCTGATCATCGTCATCGTCGTTACTGTTGCGTTATTATATTTATTTGACGTTAATCAAAAGGGTTTAGTAAAATTTACTTCACGCTCTTTCACTTTGCTTCAGATAAAATTGTATCATTTTTATTACGTAGATGTTGTAAACGAAATGCAGCTGAGAGAAAAAGCGATCACTGGTATTGTATATTGTTACGAATTCTCGAAGACACCCGGTGATACTGCATGCCTGATTAATGTTTTCATTTCTTCGTGTATTTCTCTGGCTTTTCAGTATTGCCTTTTAAACGTTGTTTGTAGTACATATTTGGTGTTGTTTAACGCTATTTACCGTTATTTCCTCGTCAGATCGTGTCGCGTAAAGAAAAGAATATACCCTGCCGTGGCAGATACGTGCGTCGTTGATACAATTCGAATAAGAATCGTTTAGTGGCTAGGCTTTGGCTTCTCGAATAGCGACAGGGTAATACGACAAACACGGAAATTAAATAGCATGCGGTTTTTTCAAACGTACAGCTCGGCTAATTATTTTTCCTATTCTAGACAATAGCTGTTCAGTGTAAACCTTATTCTTTTTTTATTCATTTCTTATTTTGTTCTTCCATCGTATCCCAATAGACGTGCGCTAGTATTTATAGAATTACTCCTTCTATTTTATATAAAACTATAAAACATGTACGTATTTCTTAGTTACAAAATTTACAACTATACCCAACACTTTAAAGATTATTGTCGATTTAATCCGTCTTTAATATTTTATTGTTCCGACAGATCCTGAAGCATAAAATCGACGGCATAAGAAGAATCTCGTCGCATCCGCTTCTACCGTTATGTAAGCAAATATGTAGTATTTATATAGATAGTTTGAAAATTATTTTTACAATTACTAACGTATGTTAATGTCAACAGATCTGACCGGTTCTCAGGATGGTTCGGTATCGCTTTGGGAATGGGGACATCAGACGGCTGTAGCAACACCTAGACCACCAGGCACGTTCGCCAAGGTAACCCGCGTACGTTTCTCACAGCACGGAAACAAATTCGGCGTGGCCGATTCCGATGGGCATCTCAGTCTATTTCAAGTAGCTTGCAGAGAAGGGTCAGCTCGACCATTCTTCGTAAGAACTTTTTTATTATACTCTATTCTATGTACATAGAGATAGCTACTTGACACGATAATACTCGATCATTTTTATTTCAGAATTATCAGTGTCATAGCAAGGTGACGGCTGATTTTGTCTTCCTCGGTGCGTGCAGCTTAATAGCGACAGCCGGACATGGTTCCGAAGGACGTAATGTTGCTCTTTGGGATACTTTGCTTCCTCAAAATAAATCATTAATTCAAGGTGTGCATCATCCTCCTTTGTGCTTTAAATATATATATATATGTCTTCTATCATATTTATACTCTCTTAGGTTTCACATGCCACGACCAAGGTGCCAGTTCATTAATACTCGCGCCTCAACACCAGCTTCTAATCAGCGGAGGAAAGAAAGGGGACATTAATATCTTCGATGTTAGACAACGGCAACAACGGCATCGTTTCCAGGCTCACGAATCGGCTATCAAATGTTTGGCCCTCGATCCGCACGAGGAATTCTTTGTCAGCGGTGCAGGAGATGGCGACATCAAGGTTGTACCCGTGAACATAATGAATGTGAACATAAATTACATTTTCAATTTCTTCGTTTCAGATCTGGGGTTTGACCGTCCATTCTCTGCTGTATTCATTTCCCGCTGAACATCCACGGTCTAGTTTCTTCAAAAATATTGGACAAGTAAGTTAACTTTTCATAATGCATGTTTCTATAAATAACAATGTCAAGAATGTTTTTCAGGGTGTGACGCAGTTGCACGTCGATTCAGCTGGACGTTTATTTTCTTGCGGTGCAGATGGATCTATGAAAGTTCGTCAACTACCGGAGCGCGATTGCGTTGTACACACTTTGTACTAGAATAGTCCAAATATGTCTAACCTGCTAGCGAAATATTTCAAAACAATGCATTCGTTCAACCAGGATACGATAAACTGTTAAACAACGCGCTTCTATGCATACGGATTCGTACTCTTCTCGTTACCTCTTTCCTCCACGAGATTTCTATACCAATTCTCTTCTTCCTTGTTCGATTATAGTTACGTATAAACAAATCTTTAGTTAGGTAACGATTCTAAGGTAATCCCGTTCTTTTCACTTCTTTTTCTTCCTTATCGGTAGCGATTGCAGCCGAGAAAAAGAGACGGGAGCGAGGATTTGTTAAATTATCACGGATATCGAAAAAAAATCTTTCAAACCCTTTATTTCTCCTAAAATTCTATCCCCCCTTTCCTCGTATCGTCGGCTCTAACTTTAATGAAATATTATTTTTAGTTGCGTTACATCACATTTCTTCGTTGATTGAATTTTGATCAAATGGCGTTTACCCGTTTCCAAATATTTAAGTATTTTTCGTTTCCTAACTGCTTCAACACCATACTAATTATTGTTGTTGATGTTGTTGTTGTTATTGTTTTTGTTTCAATAACTTTAATTTGTTGTTAAATGTACATTTCTATATTATGAACACGTGTCGGGTTCATTGAATTGTTAATAGTAATTATTTAATACATATGTAATAGTACGTTATCCTGCTTGTATGATCGCAATTTAATATTATGCAATTAACTTCTTATTAGAAGAGCGCAACCACAGTCGTATTTATTTACTTCGTGACGAAATGTATTTTCAAGAATGTTTATCGTGTAAAGAACTATTTAAAACAAATGATAAATTATATTCATTATTCTGTAAGTATGTATATTGACGCAATGGAAATACAGTTGAAATCGAACAGCTTTATTTTAAGTCGAACCATATAAATTGTATGATAGAAAAGCTTGATGTTTTGAAAGAATAAGAAAGTGACTAAGAGAGGAGAAATGGAAAACTATGTTTTCTGTACATGTAGCTAAGTGTGTATACGTCGCAGATTATTCAAACGAAATATAATTTCGTTGAAACAACAGTTTTCTATGTTGTAGTTTTATTTATTAGTTTATTACATAACAAATAGAAAAAAACAATTGAACATATTTTGATATATTTCATGATTTAGGACTTATATTTGTTTAAAGATTTTACTAAAGATTCAATCTTCAAATGTGTAAATAATTATATATCACATCTGTAAGCATACGATGATCCAAAAACGAAGTAGCAAAACCTAAGGACGACAACGTTCCAGGAACCGTGGATAAAGGCATACTTCGCGTATATGATACCTGTTCAAAAGCCAACACAAAAACCTTTCTAAGCCTAATCCATATCCACCATGGGGGCAAGTTCCATACTTTCGCTGCATAAAATTATATTAACAATTAGCAAAATTCCTTATTAACGATTGTACGATAAAATGAGTAAGTCGTTGTGATCATACCTGATCCGTGTACCAATAATATGGTTTTGACTCGATATTTTCACGATTGTAACCCTCTAACAATTCGTCATAATCCCAAATACGCATTGACCCTCCAACTATCTCTCCGACGTTCGGTAAAAGCACATCCACTGATTCGGTCAGAGATTTATCTTCGGGACAACGTTGCATGTAAAATGACTTAATCTCTGCAGGAAATCTACAGAGCATTATCGGTTCATTTATTGCATCAGTCATTTTTCTCTCTGGCATTTCTGGAATGTCCTGGAGAAAAAAAAAGGATTACTACCTTATTAAAATTCTGTTTGAATCTGTTTGAACCTACTTCGCCAAACTCGTAAAATGTTCCATCTTCTTTAGTTATATTGTTAACTCGAAGGTATTCGATAGCTTCGCTATAATTCATTCTCTTAAATGGCTTCTTTGGTACTTTAAAATCAGGATTCAATTCCTTGACAAGATGTCCAAGAGGTGACTTTAAAACGCGATCAACTACATCGCATATCAAATCTTCCAATCGATCAAGTAGTTCATCGAATGTAATGAAGGGACACTCCGCCTCCACGTGTGTATACCTAAAAATTCAAAATCTTACATAGAATACAAATTTATTATAATACCGTGATCTAAATCTTATAATTTTATTATTTATATTTACTCTGCAAGATGTCTTCGAGTTCTGGATTGTTCTGCTCTGTAAGATTGGGCGATACAGTATACATCGCCCATCGCTGGAATGCAAGTCTCGAGATAAAGTTGTGAACTTTGTGTTAGAAATGCTTCTTCTCCAAAATAATCTAATTTAAACAATGTTGACCCGCCTTCTACCTGAGTTTGCACTAATGTCGGTGGCGTTACTTCGCAGTAATTCCTTTCTTTATAATGATCTCTAAATGCTTGCATCAATACAGATCTCATAATTAATATACGAGATGTCTGAAATAAATAAAGTACTCGGGTAAAAATGGATCAGCAAGTCAAAGGTATTCGATTACATTATAAAAGATAATTCATATCGTACGTTTTCACCGCGAATCATAATATGCCTATTGTCTAACTGCACATCAGGAAGAGCTTCCTCGTTCAAAATAGAATCTGCACCGCCGGGAGGAGATGCTCCTATTAGCGTCCAGTAATCAACCAGCAATTCATGCCCGTTTGGAGCCTAAAAACCAAAAACTGAAATATTTCGAAAAGCGTTCGTCGAACTTAATTTCATGTAATACAATACATTTTTCCCTTCTGGTACAATCTTTAGGATTCCAAATACTTCAACAGAAGCTTCTGTAGATAGTATCAATGCATCATACGTTTGACACAAAGTATCATTAAGTACACATTGTAGGAAACCAGTTCCATCTCTCAGTGTAATGAACATAAGTGCTTTACCTATAAGGAAACAATAAGTTGATACTTGTAGAAATATAATAATTCATATTATTAACATTATACCTTGACGTCTAAGCCTGTGCACCCATCCATAAAGTTTTACTCGTTGATCTCTATGACTAATACTGTCTTTAATTTTGATACGAATCGCAGGTGGTAAAGTACTATCCTCTTGAATTACAAGTGCTTTAGCTTCCTCCAAATTCTTCAACCTCTTTTCTTCATCTTCTAACAGCTTCTTTTGTTTTTCTTCGCTTTTATATTGTTCTCTTACCCAAATTTTTTGCACCTTCTTTAATTGTGATTTAGATACAAGTTCATACTTTTCATTGCCCTTAGTACAATCTTGATAAATTGGTGGAAATGGTTCTTTTCCCGCATGATGCATTGCTCTTAAGACTGTTTTGAAAGGGTTAGTATCAGAACCATTTCCTGTTTCATCATTTCCATTTTTCTGGGAAGTATAAATTGCATCTAAAACGAAAAAAAAATTGCAAATATGAAACTAATTTAGTATTTTTAATAATAAAGTCGAAGAAAGTTAGTCGGCAAAATTTACCTGGTACAATATGGGAGGACTCTTTCTCGGGCATTTTTCTTTTTTATATCAAACTGGACTTAGGAAAGTTAATTATATGATATCTGGCCGCACTCTGATCTATAAAATGTTTAAAAGATGTAATAATTCAAACTTTGAAATCTGAGATCGGATAATGCACTCAAATGCACTTTGAATGATGCAACTGGATGCACCGTTAACGAGCTCTCCCTCGCCGCGCTTCCCACTTCGTTTGGGAGTATCTCTAATCAGGGAGAACATGCGCACGAAAGAACGAAAAATGCGAACGATTATGTGAATGTGTGTTAATATATTAAATTGTTTCATAAGAAATTACGTTGATTAGAATTTTTTCCCTTCTCGTATTCGCAAGATGGAATGTATCATACAACATATATATGTATGTGCAATACAACAACAACAGAGTCATGCACACTGATGCATCTCCCAATTTTTAAATGCCTAAAATGTAGAAAAGAGATCAATAGGAGGAGAAGGATACTTGACAACTTACCGACCTAACACCAACTAATTTTACCCTTGGCGCCATCTATACAAAAACGGCTGAAACTATTCAACAACTTACCGACCTATTACCATCTACTAGTATGGAGTCTTGCATTATGCATACGAGGCCCAACCCTTTATCACTGCATCTCTTACATGTCTGCATCCTTAACATCCCTGTATCTCTTATATCACTACATTCCCTATATTCCTGCATCTCGTATATGCCGGCATTCCTCATACCTCGGCATCCCTTACATCTCTGTACCCTTTATATCACTGTATCCCTTATACTCTTGAATTCTCCCTGCATCTCTTGTATCCTTTCAACCCTTATAATAAATATATTATAAATAATATACTTATGGCCACTGGTTCGAGTGAAGATAAATAAAGGTAAGTAAAGGTAAGTAAAGGTAAGTAAAGGTAAGTAAAGGTAAGTAAAGCCTTGTGAAAAATAATTTTAAATTAAAATTTTTGCAAAATTTAGTTCCTTTTTTCGCCACCAGATGGCGCTGATTCGACGCCGAGATTTTAGTTCGCATTTTTGCCGTCAGAGGGCCAAAATTTCGGCAAGCTTTAGTTCCTTTTTCTGAAACCAGATGGCGCTGATTCGACATCCAAAATTTAGTTCGCATTTTTGCCGCCAGAGGGCCAAAATTTCGGCAAGCTTTAGTTCCTTTTTCTGAAACCAGATGGCGCTGATTCGACATCCAAAATTTAGTTCGCATTTTTGCCGCCAGAGGGCCAAAATTTCGGCAAGCTTTAGTTCCTTTTTCTGAAACCAGATGGCGCTGATTCGACACCGAGAATTTAGTTCACATTTTTGCCGCTAGAGGGCCAAAAATCTTGCAAGCTTTGGTTCCTTTTTTTACCGCCAGAGGGCGCTGTGATGGGATGCTTACAAAAAGGATGCAAGGATGTAAAAGATGAAGTCAACGTTAGGCTGTAGCAGTTAAATATTGAACTATATTTATAGCCACCAAAGACTATAATTAACGTTTTAATTTGTAAACCAATTTAAATATTTATGAAAATGTATAGTATTGCTGTAAATAATAATTGTGAATGAATGTATGAGCTAATTGATATCCTTATAACCCCACCAAAAGTATTTGATAATGCCAGAACGAATTGAAATTGGTAAGCAAATCTTTTGATACAACAAATGAATTGATCATTGTTTTATTTCAACTGTACGTTTGATAATAACAAGTATTATTTTATATATAGGTGTTATTCCTGACAATCTCCGACATGAGGAAACTATTGTTCAAATAGCAGAAGCTCTTGACAATCTGGGTTCTGCTGTTGATTATGTATTTGAGTCTATCGATAAAAGGCTTTTCGAAAATGGTCAGAGGTATCTTTTGTTTTTAAATTTCAACTACATAATTTCTTAATACATTGAATCAATGTTTAGTTAATTAAAATTTCATATAAGAGTATTAACTTATTTCTTCTTTAGATTATCAAACATTAAAAATAGAGCAACAAAACTTCAAGATCGATTACAATATTTGCAAACTAATTTGAATTTAAAAGCAGTGAAAATGTATTCTGCTGCAAAGTACCCTGCCAGTCATACATACAAGGAATATGAAATGACTATAAAGCCTGAGTGTAATAATACTAGTAAAATACCAAAAGCATACAAATGTTCTGTACCCATAAAGAACGTTCCTGAAGCATACCTATCCTCTAATTGTAAAACAGAGGATGGCCAATATGTAGCAAATAATAATTTACAAGAAAAGTTACAATTTTATCATGTTAGATCTAAATCAAATAAAGAAGCTTATCTAAATGGCAATGAAGCATCATTTCCTCTTCATATGTCTTCTATTAATGCACTCTTATTTAATAGTATGGACAATCCCTATAAGGTATCTATAAAAGAAAGTAGTCACAAGACAAATGATAAACAAGAAATTGAAGATGCACCTGATTCAATTATACAACCATGGAAATCAGCAGAAACAGACTCCTCTTCTAGTTATCTTTATACACCAACTCTAGGCGAGGTAAAGTATTTGAAACTGTATTTCAAAGACAATATTGTATGTTGATTTTAGGTGATAAAAATATTTTGTTTCGTAGGTACCGCAAATAAATGTACCACCGATGCTTCCAGATTTACCTGGTATTGTGGACGATGAAAAGTTTGTTTTAGATCTTAGTTTCCAAAGTCCGATCGCACCATCCTCAGCAGTAACAACGCCCACCGTTCGACCCGACCTTCCAACTCCCACATCAACAACAAATAAGAAGGATTCAAGTACAAAATTCGAACATAGTGTACCGAATCTGCCTGGTTTTTCTGAGAATGATTCTGCGAAAGATTCTGTTCAAAATATTGCACCGCCTCCTCCTCCTCCTCCACCATTGATGCCATCCGACAAGTCTATTTCAGCTCCTTCAGAGACTCAGCAGCCTTTACCCTCTGCTCCCCCGATGATACCTCCGCCACCGCCACCGCCTCCCCCGCCACCGCCACCACCTTCATCAAAAACTAACGTATCAGATTCTCAAAAAGATTCTAAAAAGAATGAAGTTATTGAAAAGAAAAGTAAAATAGCAAATGTGGATGATCGTTCGAATTTAATGGCAGAGATTCGTAATGCGGGTGGCATAGGAAGGGCCAAATTAAGACACACAGTGCAATCAGACGAAAAAGGGAATCGCTGGTCTTCTGCGTCAGTTGGAGGAGATTTAATGGCTGATTTACATGCTAAACTGGCTCTCAGGAGAAAAGGAATTGCCGGATCAACGGGCAGTCCCTTGGAAAGAATGTCCAGCCTAATTCCTCCTCCTCCTAAGCCGAATGAAACAACTACGTCGGATAGAAACTCGGCTACCAGTGAATATGATTCTCAACCAGACACCGATGACTGGGATGAGTAACGTTCAGTGTAATATCACTAGTATGTACAATTTTTGCTTGTTTCAAGGAGAAAGAATGAGCTCAGATGGTATGAATAACTCTTAGAACAACTTTAAGCATTTGAAAACTTAAGGTACAGGAGAGGAAGTTTTCTCAAGTTCGTTCTTTTTCTTTGATCCTATTGCAAATTTATTTAGATATCAGTTTTAAATTGCCTTATTTACTTTAATTGAGCTTTTATGCAGACAACAGTTTGAACAGTTACAAATAAATTAAATAATGCAAATATCGTATTAGCCGACACAAAATAATATCACTATTTAAAAAAAAGAATAAATCTTTAAAAAAATGTAACACTATTTTTTGATACATACATAGATTAAATGCATTCATTTATTATGGTTTCCTAATTTTTATGAAAACCTATATAAGAAAAGAGAAGAGAAAAGGGGAGATTAAAACTCATTTCTCATTAACTCGTGTGTAAAATAATTATCAGAGATAGAGTAACAACTTTCTTTACTGTACAGTTTCTTTTTTTTTTTAATTGGAAAAGCAATTAAAACAAGTTTATCATATTCTGGTAGAAAATTGTCCTCATTTGTCATTAAGTTTTGAAAGTGTCTTTGTAATGGAAACGTGTTTGTGCAGTTATCTGTTTTTATTTAACACTTGACCCTAGATTACTGAACCAGCCTTCTATATGGGTTTATAAACCTCAGTTTAAGCCGTAGGATTTATAGTTTTTGTTTGATCATTGGTACATTTTGCTAATTAGACAGTTTATTTAATAGTTGAAATGCATCAGTCTTTAATAATACATGTTAGAAATATTCAAAATAAGTGATTTATTTTATTACCACTAAAAAGTGTATTTATTTAATGAACCTTTATTTATTGGTTTCCAAACATTCAAATGAGCAATATGTGTTTTCAAATTCATCTTGTTATTGTATGAAAATTATCTTCATAGGATTTGAAAAATTTAATCAGGAACCAAATCAAAACATGGGTGCCGATTTTTCTTGCAGCACGTTCAAAGTGCAAATTAATAATTTGCTATTTCGTGACACTTAGCGAGTCCGTATGTCTTTCGTATGTTAGTAAGGTAAGTTGATTTAAATGCAAATCATAAGTTAGTTACTCTTAAAAGTCTAGCATGAAAGATCATAATATAAATTGTGGTCTGTGATAGAAATGACACAATATCAATCTGTTTTTGATTCATACCGACTAACTTACAAGTTGGTGGTGCACGCTTTTCGCGCGTGATGCAACACAATGTGATAAAAGCAAGGAAACATTGTAAGAAGATTAATAGAAAACAATGATCTGTTCTTATTGTGTCTGCTAACAGAGTTTCTGGAACTGTAAGATCAATCATGGGGGGTGACATAAATGTGGCTACTTCTACTGAATTACCCCAATTAGAAGGCAACAGCTCAGACCATTTGGAGTTACCAATTGATATGCGTTTTAATGAGGGTCACATCGTTAGTATTTTCATTTATAGCGTGTTAATGATAATATCTGCTGTGGGAAATACAACGGTACTAGTGTTAATTGCGCGTCGTAGGCGTACAACTAAATCAAGAATACACAACATGTTAATGCATCTTGCAATCGCCGACTTACTAGTAAGTAAACGTATTCTCCTCTTTATTGAGGCCGCAACGAGAAGACTTACAATTTAATTGAATGATTTATTTAGAAGAAGTTATGATATATATTCTTAGAAATGTAACAAAGAGACATTTTCCAGGTCACCTTTCTAATGATGCCACTTGAAATTGGTTGGGCAATCACGGTTTCCTGGAAAGCAGGAGATGCAATGTGCCGAATAATGGCTTTTTTTAGAGTATTCGGGCTATACTTATCATCCTTTATTCTGGTATGCATAAGTATCGACAGGTCAGGATAATTATTTTTTATATATACAGTGTTTTATTATTGGTGATTCTGGAGACACAGAGAGAAATGTAAATTTTTTATTTGAATAGATCTACCAATAATAAAACATTCTGAATTATACAGCATAAAGTAACTTCATATTAATTACATTCATTTTGGTTTAGTACATTTAATTGTTCTATTTAAGATATTATGCTGTGATACATCCTCTTCAGTTATGGGGTGTTGATAAAAGAGGAAAGCTTATGTTGTGTCTTGCATGGGGAGGATCTATTGTATGTTCTATGCCTCAGGTATGATAAATTATATATTATACCGTTTATTCGTGAATACATATGATGTATTTTATTTTTAGATGATAGTATTTCATCTAGAAACCCATCCAAATATCACTTGGTATTCTCAGTGTGTCACATTCAATACTTTTCCAACATATACTCATGAAATAACGTACTCTCTTTTTGGAATGATAATGATGTATTGGTTTCCCCTTGTTGTGATAATATACACTTACACGAGCATTTTATTGGAAATATGTAGAAGATCGAAAAAGAGCGAAGGTGGTATGTTAGAATTTATTTAAAATTTATACTGAAATTTCACATGGATGAATCTAACTTGATATTTGCACTTTCCTAGTAATTTAATATAAAAAAATTAATTTCATTCAGATAAGATTCGTCGTTCTTCCATGGGCTTTCTTACTCGAGCGAAAGTAAGAACTCTAAAGATGACAGTGATCATTGTTGCTGTATTTTTTATTTGTTGGACACCATATTATGTCATGAGTCTTTGGTATGCACTGTTATTTATTAACACCAGAACACCATAACTTGTCATAATTGCATTGGTCTGTTCTATGTACATAAGTCATATAGTAAATTTCATATTACAGGTATTGGATTGACCGCCATTCGGCATATAAAGTTGATCAACGAATTCAAAAAGGTCTTTTTCTATTTGCATGCACTAATTCTTGCATGAATCCCATTGTTTATGGAGCATTTAATATTCGTGATCGTCATAAGGTGATCATTCTTCATTTTTATCTTGTCCAACAAATGTAAAAACCTTTACGCAGGTATATAAACATTAAATATTGTTTCAGACATCCGTGCGACCAACAACCATTGAAACTCGAGTTACTCCATTGACCTTGTCGCTTAAATTACTTGACTGATGTTCTTTTAAGTACAAAAAACATACATATAATGTAAGTTAAATCTAGTCGTTAGCATCAAATTGAACTGTGATCGAAGATCCAATTATTAACATTGTGGTCGGTATTGTACGCGCTGTATTTAAGAATTATTAAAATAGAAAAAAGCATTTAAATCAACAATAACAGGTGAAATTATGAAACTTGATAAAACAAAATATATAATAAGACTCACAAGACAGTTAAAACATATTAAATTATTACAAATTATTATATTTTCTTCGATTTATTAATACATCATTTTTGAAAAAAACCATTGTTTTCTTTTTTATTTTTTTTTTTTTTTTTATTATATTAAGTAAATTCTTGCCTGAAAGTATATTTTAAAAAGTTAAAAAAGATTATGGATCTACATCAGTAACATGCTCTTTTTAAGAAGAATCAGTCAAAAATAGAAGCGTACATTCTCACGTTATAATGTAAGCGAAATGCATTCAAAAATGAATGAAACATGTACATTCCAAATAACTGTCTTATGGAATAATAGTCTTCCTCTTTCTATTTTGAGCACACGTAAGGCATATTTATTTCAAATTAAAAAAATAAATCTAAAAGCTTTGAAAAGAGTAAAGTTGGTAGATAGATTTATTTGTTACAAGAAAAAACGTGTAAAAGAAATCTCAAACATAGCAAGTACTTTTACCGAATCAACAGATTTCATCGGAATCGTATGAAAAAGTTTCTTAGTTATATTAAAAATTGTAACGCTTTAATTGTATATAAATACAAATATGACTTTAAACAGTATAAATGTAAAAATTAAATGTACAGTTATAAATGTTGTGCCAATGTTGTTAAAATTATACAACACTAGTATTTTATAATTGATTAAATTGTATTGGAATTTTAAATTCCTTTCAAGGATTTTCAATTTTCAAAAAGTAAAAGATTGCGTATCTTAACTATAGTCAGTTGTATAAAAGAAAAACGGTAAATGCATAGCTTTGCCAGAAGTCTTTAATTAGGCTTTAATCGCCTGAAATGCAAACAGCACCGGTACTTACGTTTCTTCACCAGCGTGGATGAATCTGATGGAAAGACCATTGTTGATAGGTATTATTAATGTCGCATGGCATTAACGACAGCTGTTGTGTTTGAGGATGAAGTGCCATACACTTCTTGTGCACTCTGTGCAGAAGCGTTTTGGTTTTCTAAAGAAGTAATAGAATGTATGATAAATATAAAAATGATAATAAAAATCCTGTAACGTATTTATTGACACTTACTTCATCGTATTGCCATGGACCATCTACAGTCCCTAAGCGGCAAAATACGAATTTTATACCTAGACTATCAGCCGATATGCATCGCTCTCCGACACCTAATTGTCCTTTTGCATTTAATCTAATTAGCTAAGAAATATTAAATGAATGAATAAATGAAGAAAGAATTTTCATATAAAATAATTCAAGAAATTACCTGATTATTACCAAATCCATGACAATGTGATGTAGCCATTAAACTAGGCGGCGAATGACTCATTGTATCCAAGCATGTTCCGGTTGCCACATTGCGTAACTGTAATTTAAACAATAGAGATAGTTTACAATGTAGGTACTACACTATTATAAATATTATTACTATTACCTCTCCCCAATGAATGTTTGGTGGTAATTCAGGAAATTTATCAAATACGTCGTAAGCCACATTTTCCATGTACCACTGAAAACTTTTACACCTTTTTCGTTTCTTAAAGGCTAGTTGTTCTGTTATATCGCCATGATCAAGTAATTGTGCTAATGGTTCTCTTGTATAAAAGAATTCCTTGTATTTATCGTCGAACCAAGTCTCGATAACTCTTTTGTAGTTCTATAAATGAATGGACGATTTTCATAAATGTTACATTATTTAACTTTGAACTACTATAGTTATATTCTAATTGCCAATCTGAAATGAGAGTGTTACTTACTATGGTTATCAGTGGACCTTTTTTCTTCTGTGCCAATTTGCCAAACGTATAGGGCATAAATCCTCTGTATACGTGACCAACGTGCGAGCATGGTACCCAAAGGATACTTCCTCCGCATTGCCATATCTTAAACGATAATTCAAAATTTTCTCCACCCCATACAAGCAAACCTTCGTCATATCCACCCAACGATAGAAAATATTCACGATTTATTGCAAATAAACCACCAGCATGAGTAGGAGACCTAGACAAAGTTTTGTCTAATATATAAATGTCAAATAATTTTGATATAATTGTTTAAGAATTACTTGTATGGCATGCTGTTGTAAGGTCGCGTTTTTTGTTCCCGTGCAGGAAGCTCATTTTCCTTATATAACATTCCCCATTCAAAAATACCTCTATATAAGCGTCCTTCCTGGTACACAGGTCTATATTCAAAAGTTTTGTGATCAATTCCATCTATGACAGGAACTGTCATTACAGTTCTGAAAATGTTTAAAACAGCACGAAAAATAAACAATTAGTTTTTCTTATATTACAATGAATTAAGTGGAAGTAATAAAACATTACCTATCAGCAGCTATTGGAGCTAAAAGAGGTGGTAGCCAATTAACATTTACTTCACAGTGTGCATCCAAAAATACTATAACTTCACCCTTAGCTTCACGTGCACCACGTGATCTAGTCCTGATCAGACCTTCTCTTTCATAATTCCTTATTAATTTCACTTTCCCATTCCACTGTTCTATATAGGACTCTAAATCCCCTTTTAAATTATCTGTATAAAGCATATCAATGATTTTCAGTTTATTTGAATTTTTTCATAATTCAACATAGCATAATTTAATAAGTATTTTATTTACCTTTATCAGAATAATCATCTACTAGCAAGATCTCCTCTAAAAATTGAGGAGGAGTACGATTTATTACACTGTGAACAGTTCTCATCAGTACTGACCAACCTTCGTTATGAAATACTATAATTACACTAGTTCGAGGAAGAGTCTCTGGATAATTCCAATGTTTGCATCTGTCAATTAATGTTACAGTTTGTTAAAGTTCAAAATTTAAGCAATATTGCTATAAAATTTCAAATTAAAAATTGTCAACTTACTCAGGCATTCTTGTATCAGGAACTGATCTATCTAATGAAATCTCATCAGAGCATACCATATTCATACCATACTCAGACTCTGATTGCTGAACATCATTTTGTTGATCATCCCTAAGAATATGAGGTTTACCTCCTTCTCCAGATCCAGTTCTAATTGATACATGTTTTGCTTCAAAGTTACCAAGATCTTTTACTAAAACTGGAACCTATAAAAAGATATTAATAATAGTCAATATTTATTCAAATATAAATAAAAATCATAATTTTTAATTTAAAAAAGTATTGCTATATTTTTGTCTATATACTTATTTTCATATTTGTTCTTATTATTGTTTTCATTTACCTGTTTACTCTTTAGACTTGCTGACCAATATGTCTTTATATTACTGACAGGTTTCTCGGCAATAAAATTTATAATAATATATAATGTAAAAAGAACAAATATACTACAGACAATAATACTGAAAAGACGGTTCCTCTTTAGCTGCACAATTCTCATTTTGTTTAAGGTAATTATATCTGCAATTAAAAATTCATTAGTGTAGCTTTCTTATTTATTTGTTTATGGTTTATTTAATATATTGAAGATACGATCAAACTGTGAAATATTTAAAACAGAAAAACATATACAACTTATATCTCAATATTTTTAAAACTATGTTAAAAAATGTAAACAATAACACAATAAATTACTATTTTCATGACCTTCTAAAAGATTAAGATATTTATCAAAATACTGTAAATAAAGGTATGTATTTACTACACTAAAGAAATGTATTACAATATATAAATTACCTTAAGTAAAAATGTATCAAACACAATAGAGTTCACTACATTAATATACTGAGGATGTATTAAAAGAGTATTAAAAATTATAATGTAATAAACTGAATCATTATTTAAAAAAGTCTGAGGCTACGTTGCTTCACGCAATAGCCAACGTGTCTTTCTTTTGCCCAGATTTACACATATACGATTATATACTTTTACCTGTATACGTGTCGGTATTTACACTTTCATTGAAGCCAACACGCGCTCGACCTTTCTATTTTTGAAAATTGTTTATTAAAATATCATTATTCTTAATAGTTAAGCATTATTAAGAACTAAATATCACAAACTTAATAGAAAAGCAATAACTTGATTAACATGTTTACATTGGACATTAATTTTAACATATATGTAACCTGCTTGTAAAAATTAATTTGTTAAAAAAGAAAATGTATATTATAAAATTATATTTGCTATATAGCTAACAAATGAACATGTGTATACAGGTACAGTTTTATTAAATAAACATATTCAAATATGTTTGATTTGAGTAGTGCATGTATTGCAGTATTTTGATTATTTATAAGATGTAAAAGTAAAACCAAATAAATTTTGTAATTCTTGTAATTACAGATTAGATGGCGCTGCAACCATTTTTTTAATGTATGCATTGTGTGTATATGCTACCTGAATTGGCTAGATGTTAGTTTTGTTTATACAGTTTAATCATTTACATTTAGGTGTTTTAATTTCTTTTTATGTTTCTACAAAGTGTTCAGAGAGGTTGTACGATGTTGTACGCACTTTAACCAAATACTGATAATGTATTAAATAAATTAAATAGCATATTTAACATTGAACAGAAATTCAAAATTGCATGGTTGTATTTTCTCTTGTTGCTAAATACATACATAGTGAAATGTATTTAAACTATATATACTGAGCACACTGAATAAACTGAATAGAGGTTTAATTAAATGTTAATGAGAAATATTAAAACATTTGTTTGCATCATACTGCTAACATTTTTTTATACATCATAAAAATGTAATCTATGGACTTTTGCTTTTAGATTTAGATTACTTTTATTATGACATTTCAATACATATGAAAGAAATATGTAATAATGTATTTTTAATCAAATTGTCAAAATATATCTTAATATTTTTACCAGTTTTTTCATTAATTAAATTTTAGAAAAGGAAGATTAAAAAATTTCAAAAATTTGCATTTATCTATATGCATGTATCTATTTTGTAAAAAGAAATGTTAGGGTCATTTATTAAATATTATTTCAATAATTAATGTGAGAACCTATAAAAATGGCTTCTTCTGAAATTGATGATTTATTATCTGGACCATTGGTGACTTGGGTAAGTTCTGTAATATAATTCTTAGATGTTATTATTATCAAAAGAAACTTTTAATATTTTTAAGTGTATATTTGAAATTTTTTTATAATAGTTCACCAGTTGCCTAGAGGATCCTAATTCATTAACCAGTTATTATGATCTAGTAGATGGTGTATTATTGCATAATGTATTTTTGCAAATGTAAGTACTTTGATGCGTATACATTTTTTTCCAAACATACAAAACATATAACATTTGATATGTTTACAAATCATAGAGATCCAGAACCTATACGTGATGAAATAGTCCCTCCAGAAGGAAATTCATTGATTCGCACAAAAAACTTAAGAGCTGTGGTAGATAATATGAAACAGTTTTATGAAGAGGAATTAGGACATTTAGTTCTAAGGTTACCAGATACAGTAAATTTAGGCAAAGAGCCAGAACATTATGTTGCAGAAATGAAATTATTATTACTGTTACTCCTTGGTTGTGCTGTACAATGTCCTAATAAAGAAAAATTCATTACAAACATAAAAACATTGAATGTTGACACTCAGCTTGCAATAGTGGACTGTATTAAACAAGTATGCTTTCCAATATATTTGATTCATATTATTTAACAATAAATTGTAGTAAATCATATTTAAATGTAATATGTTAATAGGTAACTGATCATCAAGATATAGTTATTACTCAAGATGCAATGGAAAATGTAAATATGGGTTGTTTATTTGGGCAAATAAAAAAATTGACTCAAGAATTGGATTTGTATCGTCAGGTATGTTTTATGTGATTAATGTTATCATTAAAGGAAGCACCATACTAATGAAAGTTTGATTGAATAATAGAAATGGAGAAATACTGTTATAAACGAAAACGTCGAAGGAAACGACTCGTCCATTAGCGGGGAACCCGAAGAAATAAACAAAATACAACAATCTAATGTTGTTATTAAATCAGAAAATGAAGATAATCATCATTATGCAGTTGAATTAGCTGATTGGAAATCAAGAGTTAGAAAACAAAGACAAGAATTGTATGTACTGCAATTAATCATATAACAATTCTTATGTCAGTTAATTTTTTTCTCTATAAATTGTTTATAGGGAGGAGAAAACTGAAGCTTTATTAGAATGTAAAGAAGAACTTGAATATCATAAAATGTTAGTAAATAAATTAAAGCAAGAGGTAAGATGATTTGCATTTTAAGAACGCGAGAAGTAGCATAAATACATATTTTTATTAAATTTCTGTTGTATTTTAGAATCAGGAATTGATGCATGAAGCACGCACAGCAAAATCTTATAGAGACGAATTAGACGCAGTAATTGAAAGAGCTGATCGTGCCGATCGATTAGAATTAGAAGTAGTAAGATACAGGGAGAAACTTACAGACATAGAATTTTATAAAACTCGTATAGAAGAATTACGTGAAGATAACAGGTACTTTGGAATAGGTGCATGTCATTGAATCTTGATCCAGTTTTCTTTATATTAGACATCATTTGTTTATTTTAGGGTTTTAATGGAAACCAGGGAAATGCTTGAAGATCAGTTAAATTCGTCACGAAGAAGAGCAGACAAAGTATTAGAACTTGAATCTGAAATTATTAAATACAAACAGTTATTGAATGACATGGCATTGGTATGTGTACATATAGAGAGAGTGAAATTTGCAGATTTTATTTCCTTTGTATAATTACATTTTCTAGGAACGAGCAGCCGATAAAGAAAAGTACCAAGAATTAGTCGAAGAAAACACTCAGTTGCAGAAATTAACAAAAGCTGCTGCAAATGAAGCTGCACTAGCTGATTCTATAAGTGATACTGAAGAACCTGGTAATGAATTATTATATTTAATGCAAAATTCTATTTACCTGTTCAGTGTATATAAATTTAACATATATTTAAATTTTATTTAGCACATACTGATAACAGATTATCCGAGCAATTGACAAATAATGCACAAACAAGAGCATTAAAATTAGAATTAGAAAACCGTCGGCTAGTTACCTTAATAGATTCCTTAAAAGAAAATTCATTTCACGAAAATTCGTCTCGTGTTCTAGAATTAGAAAAGGAGAAAAAGAAGCTATCGTTAAAAATTGAATCATTAAATGATAATATTGAAAGGTTGACGCAACAAAATTCAGATTTAGAATTAGTATGGAAGCAAGCATTAGACGAGAACAAAAAGCTACATAACTCGTTGAAAAATCAAAAAGTCGCATCCGAGAAACAGCAACAAGAATTTCAGGTTCAACATGTAAAAGTGATAGAGTTGGAAAAAAATTATGATACGGCAGTGAAAGAAAAACAACGAGTTCAAACTTTGTTGGAAAGTGTACAGAGACGTGCAGATGATTTAGAACGTAATTTTGAAGTTGCAAACCAGAAAGTTGAAGAATTAAAAATTGTTGAAAATAATATAAAAGAAATTAATTCCAAGTGTCTTGATCTTGAGTCAAAACTTGTGGTAACTGAAAAAGAGAAAGACGTAGCACAACGTGATATTCATCGTTACCGGGAAACTATAGAGGAAAAGGATGTCGCATTAGATAAAGCGGCAAATAGTATTGAAGTTTTAGAGAGAAAAGTAATGCAACTTGAACAGGATCTTCATGATTCTGTTACGCAGATTTCAAGGTTGCAAGAAATTGAGAGGTCTAGCAAGGAACTGGATTCGCGAGCTGCTATTGATAGAGAAACATTAGAGATTTTACAATCTAATTTAGTAGCTGAAAAATTGAACACTCAACAATTATATACTGTTTTAGAGAAACTTGGGTTTAGTGATAACACTTTGTTGTCACTTCCCTTGGACAATATTCTGAAAAAGATCGCACAAATTCCGGAAGTCGTTAGTTATGTACAAGAATCAAATGATTCTTGTTGCTGTGACAAATCGATACCAGAATCTAAGACTTTTGAGAGCAATGAAACTGGTAATCTTCATAGCACATTGGAAGCAACGGTAGAATCGCTCAAAAAGGAGCAAGAGCATTTACAAATGAAATTAGCTACCGCGCAAACAGCATCAGAGAATTTACTATCTGAACATGCAAAGCTTCAAGTGCAGATTACAACGTTACAATCTCAAAACAATTCATTGGCAGCTCAACATACAGCCTTACAACTTGCTAATTCGCAGCTTGTCGCTGAAAAAGAAGAATTGCTGAAACAACGCAGTTCACAACAGCAGACTCATGCAAAACTTGTTCACGATCAAGTCACTTTACAATCGTTACATGAACAGTTGAATAACGAATATGAAAATTTATTCCATGAACATGATACTCTGAAATCAAGTCTACGAGATGTGAAAAATGAAATCAGAATGTTACGCGAGTCTTATGAAGGAATCAAAGAGAAAAACAAATTATTGCAAACTGAAAAAGAATCATTAGTGAATGACGCGAAGAGTTTAAATAATTTACGAGGAGAACATTCGAAATTAAAGGTAGTCAATCGCCTAATTGCTTTTTATAAGATGGTTATATATTGATCCTAAATCTAATATGTAATTTTAATAATTTTAGGATGACTTCAGAAATTTATACACTGCCACAGAAAAGTTGAAAATGGAATATAGAAATTTGCAAGAAGATTATAGGAAAAATAAAATTGAAACAAATCGATTAAGTCTTAAATTAACAGAGATGCAAGGAGAACTTAGCACCAAAGATGAAAGATGTTCGAATTTAGAACTTCAAGTGAATAAACTCAATCAACGTTGTGAAGTACGAATAAATTTTTGTTTAATAGTGTACTAATTAATATGTTTTAAATCATTGTTTCCTTACGTTATTTTTATTGTAGGTGTTACTACACATGAATTCCGGTTTAGATAACGATAGACGATCCTTAATGGATCACATTAGTTTATTATTTAGTCAATATCATGAACTTTTAACTCATTCTCTTGAAGATAAAGAGCATTATCACATGGAAGAAAAAATGTATACGTAAGTGTTCTGAAAAATTGATTGTTAACAAGTTATATTTACTTTAGATTGATATCTTAACTGAGTATCTTTTATTACAGAGATACAGTAAATTATCTATACCGACAAAAAGAAAAATTAGAAGATAAAATCATGGAGCATTACAAAAAGCTAGAAAGTTGTACTTCAAAAAAGTAAGTTATACGTTAATTTATATATGTATTTCAAAATAATTATTTTCTGCTAATTTTTAATATTTTTCATGTATCTTTTAAAGGAAAGGATTTGGATCGAATTTAGTACGAAGAGTTCGCAAAGCATCAGAGTTTCTTAATAAGGTAAATAAATTAATGTATGTGTATTGAATAAAATAAATTTCAGATGTTTTATACTAAAATTTATGTGAATTAGAATCGACGATCTTGGGCTGAAGATTCCAAACATTCCGAAGGAAAAATATATGAATCGGAATCTGGAGGAAATGATTCCGATGGTAGTACAGAGGATCATAGACTAGCTGGTAAATATTTATTTTAAATATCTTATTGTTGCGTTTATTAACATAAATATTTTATGTTTGAAAGGATCTGCTAGAGGACTTGGATCGGACGCATTGTCCCTTGGTCATCCGGGAACTAGAAGGACAGTATATTATACGGATGATTCGCCGCCACCATCAGCTAATTTACCAGTATGAATTTTCCTTCTGTTTTCTTCATATCTAGTTTCTTACTATTTTTAAGTGTACATATAACAAAAAATGAATTGTTACAGGAACAAGGAGATGATAGACGTTCAATTTTATTAGAACAAACACCGCGATCAGAAGTGCAAGTAGAACCTCGACCAGTTTTAATATATAACAAAGTATCAGCAGTTATAAATGAATCAAAGAATCTTAATAATAGTGATATGAAGGATGTAGAGCAAGAAGAAATTGTGGAAACTCCTGTTGATAAAGATACGAAAGCAGGCAATCCGGTGTGGTACGAGTATGGTTGTGTATGATTCGACGTTCTTTCCATTCATTGTGTGCTTATCACAAAATTTGTGCTTTTTTACCGTATTGTAATAATGTAACTCTATTTTCTAATCATTTAATTAACGAATGTTTTTTATAATTCGTATTGTAATTGTATGTTTCAAAAGACTTTCTACATGATAGCAATTGTAATTGAGCATTTACGAGTTCCTAGAAAAGTTTTATGGCAGAAGCGCATATTGCCAATTTATTTTCAAATGCAGTATTTATTTTACACTTGGTACTTTTAATATATCATTTATTGACATGTCTTCAAACAGATTTTTATGTATTTATATATAGTTTATAAATAGTTAACTGTACATCAGCTTGTATGTAATAATGCGAGATACGCATTTTCTTTTGAAAACAGCGTAACTATTGTGTGTATAGCGACCTAAATATTCAACGAATATTACCAATATTTAACTTGTTTCTTATGATGAACAGTTAAACTAATTATACTAAGTCTATTCTTGCTTTTATTAGAAGCGAAAAATAACAGTGACTATATTAGATAAATGTGTTCTTCTTAATTACGCGAAATTCCATATTTTGTTTTAAATATTGTAAATAATAATAACTGATGTATTCTTTTCATTAATTCGATCCGATTAATTCAGCGACGCATTTTGACAGCCAGAGATTCAGGGTCTCACGCGTCCCATCATTGAAGGGACACACACCTTAGTTTTTTATTTTCTTATGGTGGGGAACGGGGAGGTTGCGACGAAAAAAAAAGTGACCACTGTCTGCTTAAACCCTTTCTCAGCGTTTAAAAATTTGCATACGACGCATATCCGACGAATTATATCGCCACTTTGAAGGTCAGATGTTCAAAATTCTTTTCTCCTTACATTGTTATAGATACAATAGAATATTAAGCGCAAGAATGCATATTTAATTGGAACCTTAACCCAATGTATTTTTATTATTACTTAACGAAAAAAAAAGTTATTTAGTCGTTGCAAACTTTACAGAATATCATTATCTTTTTCTTTTTTAAAGATAAACTTTAACAACCTTATCCATTCCGTCTCTTCTAACTTACCCTTCGACGAGTATGTCGACGACGAGGGTGAAACAAAAAATTTCGCTCGCAGCAGCGATTGGCTGGCAAAACCTCCATCTCCAGCTCGCTTTTTCCATTTACGAGAATAACAATCTTTCCCTCTATTTCTACTGGCGCAGAAAAGGTAGGCCAATGGAGTGGGAATGGTATGACGAAGGGTAGTGGTAATAGTAGTGGGCGGATGGGTGCAAAAATACCGCTGGCAGAAGCAAGGGTAACAGACTAAAGTAGAGAAAGAACTATGATGCCATTGAACGGTTAAAAAAGTAAGAATCATTCAACACGATAGCAGGGAACAATAATAATAAAATATTAAATTAATTTGATCATAATTGAGATATCATTCGAAATTTGTAGATAACGCAGTATTAAATCTACAAAAATATTAGCTGCTTGTGGACCAATGCAATGGTTGGCTAAAGAAGTGGTATGTCACTGGGGGGTGCACACAACGAGGGGAGGAAAAATGGCTTTTTAAGGGGGACATTTTCTTTCTATCTCTCTCTACTACCACTCGTTTGCCGAGATGGTAAAGTTCAAAAGGATAGTGGAGGGATAGTTTTTGCACCGACGTGATGGACTAAGGAGGGGCATATACATGTAAGTATGTCTACATATATAATCATATGTAGTTACCTATGAAGAGAAAATGATTGAAAGATTTTATAATTTTCTAAACTTGATCATTTATAATAATATGAATTCTAGAAGCTGTAACTGTAGAATTCATTGAACAAATCATTTGAATATAATGATGGAACATGATTTGCATTATTGTAAAGATAATAATAATAACTTACTATTTATTGAGATGTGAGAATTAAAGAACATAAGAAAGTGAGATTTACGTACTGTGGTTAACGCGACAATGCCTATCGTTACTCATCGCATACTGGAGTGGGGAAATTGCAAAGAGCAGTGGGGATAACCGCACGTGAATGTTGAAATGGTGGGGAAACGTTGCACGTTGTGTAGTCTAGTAGAAGGGGCACTGTAACAGACACAGTGGAATCACTTGATGGCCGGCAATGTATACCGCGTTATCGTTCCAAGTGTCTCGCTACTACTTTTCGAAGTGTTAGCACAATTTTTATTACTTTTTTATTTAATAGTTAAATTATTTCAAATATATAAATATCCATACGTTTGAAACATAATTACCGTAAAAAGTCTCGATAGTCTTATACGAAAATATAAAGATAGATCAAATGTTAATTCACCGAGTAATTATCTGTTATAATATTGAAATTAATTTACACGATTACATATGATTTTAAGTGCCGTCTGCAATACGTGTTTATGATAATAAGAACTCACGTTCGTTAATCTTTTGCTTCCATTTTTACTGTTATTATTCGCGTTTCCATTTATCATGACGATTGGCCGATGACGTTCAAGTAACATTACTTTATTATAATATAAACGATTCGTAATCTCAGCACAATTGGTGCTAGTTACTATTTGCATCGGTGTCATCGAAAGAAATGTATGGGACCGATCGAACGTGTATCGTATTATAAATGCATAAATCTTTCGATGCGTTGGAATGCAATAAACATTGTTCGAGTGTTGTGAGTGAACACTGGGAGGTAACACCTCAGTGTCGTCCTCCCTCGAGAAAAGAACGAAGAGTGATATTACCTTTCGAAGATGGAGAGTCGTGTGCTCGGTGGACCCACAACGGAGGAGACAGCAGTGGCGGTAACAACAACGTGCAACATCGGTACACCCTCTCCAGTGCCAACGACACCGATCAACGCAGTTCCTGGTGTTGGTGGTGCTGGTGCTGGTACTCTAACTTCAACCACTTGTACTATTCAGAATCCTGTGGTCGTCGTAGCAAGCCCACCGACTAAACACCAACAATCCGCTACCGTACTATCCACTGCACCCGTCATCCCTACTGTTCCTACTGTCCCTACTGCGGTGTCCACTGTCACTGCTGTTACCGCTACTGTACCGAAGATACTTAGCAGAAATGTCAACGGCACGTGTAAGTCTACTATTTTCATTTTCTTTTATAATCTATTGTTAAAAAGTAAAGGGCACCTTATTTTCTATGATAAATTTATAAGAAAATTAAATAAGTATATTACTAGTGATGTACCGGAATGTACAAAGTACCTATAATCAGTATGATGTCAGTCAGACAATTAAAAAAATGTCTAAAAAATGATAAACTATCTTACGAATCAATTTTGGACATGAAAAAAAGTAAATCAAAATTTTCCCCAATCTCACAAAATGACGCTGAACAAATTTCTATCGATTAGAATTCAGTTTTGTAAAAATTTGATGAAAAATCAGCTGTGTAAGCGTATAACGTAAATATACGTGTGTGCCCAAGTGGATGAGCATTGTCTACTTGTGCTAGGAAGAAGCATGAGTCAGGCAATGAGTAAAAAGCGTCGCGCCAAGCAAAAAGGCACTTTTTCTTCCGCCATCAGTGAGCAACTATTGCGAGATCTGTTTTTGCGGGTTTCTTACGAGATGAACGGCCATCGGAGGTAACCGTATAAGCAAGGAGTTGACCAGTGCAGACTAACGGTAAAAAAAAAAGTACTGGTTCACGGTTTTGCTGGTGTTTCTGCGAAAGTTGAAATTGCGGGAGAGATCTCACGGAGACGCCAGTTGGTCCATGCTGCAAATGGCTGGCTACTCTTTTCCGCTTCTTTCTCTCTTCCTCCTCCCTTTCATTCTCCCTCGCGATCTTATCCTTTTCTTTCTTTTTTCGATTGCGCAAATCAAAGACTCTTACCCATTAGAAGTTGCTTAATACTTTATCGCCGGCCAATTTGTACTCGCAATCATTGAAGATAGCGAACGGTTATTCTTGAGTAGTCTAATGCATTCGTTCTGCTTTCACTCTCTTTTTATTAAGTTAAAAAATTGCGCTAAATAGTTTTTGTGAATAATTATAGAAGAGAATACTTTCTATTTCTAATCATACAGAAAATCGTATGGTCTCTAATCAACATTTCTAATATTCACCTGAAAATGATTAGTTTTCAACGGATATTTTTCGTTTAACATAAAATATCTGTCGGTATATTAATACGTCCTAAATGTATCCTATTCGAATGACGAGTTGACTCATCTTCTCGAGACAATAATAATCCCACATCCTTCCATCCTTCTCTTTTCCACGGATATGATGAAACGAATGGAATGTCACGTTTTCGAATATCATCCTGGCAAACGAATCAAGCGGTATGTTTGCTTAGAATTAGTATGCCAGAGGCGGCCTATTTGAAACACGAGGATAATTCAGAGCGTCATAAATTTGAGCCCGAACGCGTGTAAAAACGGCCACTTGCTCGCTCCGCCGCTATGCAACTTGACAAAAAATCTCGAACCTTTTTGCGGCAAGTTCGCTGGATTCCCGCGCTTACTTAGAACTTATTGAGCCAAGAATTTTTTCCCTCGCGAACGTGTCCACGGCAGTAGCCAGCACTCTCTTGTATCCTCGAGACTCCTATACATGTACTATCGTTTTATGATTATCTACTTGACGTAAGCGATCGAATTGTCCACTTATTTTGGAAATAAGAACAAAAAAAATTCTCGTATATACACTATCGATCAAAAGTATCGGATCACTTATTATTAAGGATGCTGAAATTTTTTAACGAAAGACTTAATATTTATTCTTATAAAAAAAAAAAATCAATCTTCAGATTTTTCTATTTGAAGCAATTCGTTCGTAAAATCTGAAATGTCTGACTAAACGCAAATATTGGCGGCGTATATAGACGCAGCTGCTTGTTCTAACGAGCTCTTTCATTTCTCCTTGTGTACTCTGCACGCCTTCTGAACGAGTTTTCTGTGCATACCTCCGACGTTAAAGGGATGCTTGAATGTAATCTGAATACGATCAAGAAATCGTGCGACCTGTGGGTGGATGCACTCGAATACCGGCTAATTCGAATGACGAGCCGAATTCGAGGGGTTGAGAAGACTGGTGAAGACACGGTGAAATCGAAAGGGATACGGCTGAGGCAGTGAAGGATTACGTGAAACCAGCCTCTCATAAAAAAAGAGAATAATTTTTATATTTCATCGATCTCCATTTTGCAGTATACTAATTTGAAAATTTATATAAAATATGGAAACGTAATTAAGGAAAGTACACGTAACCGGAACCGCATTACAAGACACCACGTAGGACCAATTCCGTTCAAAATGCAATCATCGAGGAGGCAAAAACGAAACATTCGATCATCGTATCCGCAAACTCACCGAGTCAGGAAAAAGGAGAAAAGAAAAAAAAAAGAAGAAACCAGCGTGGGTGTAGCGGGATCGAGTTCTCGATAACATCCGTTTTCTTCGGACAAACAATTGATCGGAACAAAACAGACAAATGTTCGATCAAGGAGAGCAGAATATTCCCACCGGAGGGGTCTCCTTTATTTCGTTCACGAATAAATTAAGAAGCGAGAGGTGTCCGCGACTAGGGGGCACACACGGTTGTCCCACGTTTTCTCGCGTACACCTTTCCAACTTTTTTTTTCAAACGACATAATCCCGCGAAACGATGCACGGCTGCGCCCGCTACCTGTCGAAACGCACCGCACACCCTGCGAGCTTAGGTTACCGTGTCCTCGTTCGTTCTTCACCAAAGCGGCCCGACCGGACCCGATAGTCCGGCATAACCCCCTTCGTTCGACACTGTTCCGCGGCCCTTCGCCCCGACATATGCATATCGTCACCCCTTTACATCAGTCGGGAGAAAAAAAAAAAAAAAAAAACTCGGAAGAGGCCTGACCCAGGGAAAAAAACAAACAGCTTAGGAAAGGATTCTTTGTCTCTTCCTCCTGTGCTCCTTTCTCTCTATCTGATCTCTTCCTTTCTCAGGCTCTTTTTGCTTTCTCCCCACCAAACCAGATAGAACTTTTTCTCGATGTTTTTATCAGTGTTCAACCTTGCGATCCACTAGGTGGTGGGAAAACATGCGTGCTCACGCGTTCTCCGTACCATTTTCGTATTTCTTTTTGCGGTACGAATGCCGCGAAAATCAAAGGGGAGGGGGTACGTATTGTGAATTCGAAGATTCTTCTTTTTTTTATCTCTTTAGATAGATGGGAAATAAAAATGGCGAAACTGAAAGGAGGAACGATGCGCTACGTGACTGAGAAGTGACGAGCGCCCTTATTAGAAAAAAATTAGCCCTCGATGCTTCGCTCATAACCCTTTGATTCGTCTTCACCGGGTCAGAGAAAAAGTGATTGAAAAAATGGTTTATTCGCTTGGTGGTCGTGGGAAAAAGTTCTTTCATCGTTTCACGATCTTTGTGTCTTTTTGAGAATCGTCTCCTTCCGCGTTTCGCTTGCTAAGTTCAAGTTAATTTTATAATGTTATTTATCAAATATTTATTATAAAATTGTCTCCTTAGATTGTTGCATTTTGAATTTCAAAATTATCTCCAACCCTTAGATATCAATATTTGCCGCTAAAATGTTTATAAAACGAAGTTTGACATTGTTAATTTTAATCAATTCGTTCCGAGGAAACGATCGGTTTCATTTCTTATTCGGATGAAATATTAAATATATCCGAAGAAATGCAGTTTATGCATTTCATGGACAGGTCTGTCTCGGATGCAGGTAAAAATGCAATGCAAAAACGATTAATGTGCAAGTGTATCGCTAAACTCGTCGCTATTTACAATGGAATCCAGATTTATCCTGTTTATTCGGTCGAAGCTCGTCGTACGACTTTTTACCCGATGTGTTTTCGTACGTAGACAGCCAACAATCGCTTGGTCGACCTCCGAACTCTTTCATTTATTCTTGGCTAAAGTTGGTATATTTTATTTGTCGGTCAGGATTCTTCATTTTTGCGAGCGTGTTACGTGGAAACGTCATTGTTTCCATGGAGAGAACTTAGATTAAGTATCTTGATGTCTTCTACTTAAAAACAAGTAGGACAGAAATACGCGGAAAGAAGTAAGTACACCATACAGGAATACGGGGGTCAAACGGGTAGAATTTATTATAATGTTCATCGTGATATTGCAAATTTTTTAATTAGATACTGTGTAAAAATGATCAAGAAGTAATTATTGTTTGAAAAAGAGACGGTTACCAGTAAGAATTTTTACCCTTTGGTTTCGTCGTTAAACGAACGTAATCTGCCATTTAAAACCGTGTCAGAATATTTTACAACTTCAACGGCCCGTTGATTTTTTCAATGGCGGGGTACAGAATCAGTCGACCATACTTTAAAATGCTTTTAAGGGAGGGAGTTGGAAGGTTAGGGGATGGAAAACGATGGAGGTTGGTCCCTGACAGAAGGATGCTATAGGGGCCCCACCCCGTGTACCCAAAAACGGCACCCAGCCAATGTCGACAGAGGTATTAACTACCCCTTTATAAAAAATGCATTTCCTCACCCCTGGTCTGTAGTTCGGTAGTCGAGCGCATCGTGCTACCATTTTTATACAACGCTCGATGGAAGTATAAAACATACTGCAATAAATTTTTAACTAAAATTTAAACTAATTAATTCTATAAATTGTTTTTATAGATTTTATCTCCTTTAAAATCAAGCGTGCCCCACATACTTTTCCAAACACACGAATGTCATAAATAATACCGAATCGCAGTTCGGCTAACAACAAATCCGTTAAAATACGTTTTGAAATCGTGCGGAAAAAAGAGCGAAACAGAAAAGAAGGTCGCATTATAATCACCTATAATTACAATTAATCCCTTTCTCTAAGGGTCCCGCACGGTTCTGTTTGCAGCCCCTCGGTTGATCGTCTACCGGCAAATTAGTTTTTTTTTTTTCCTCCTATAGGGATCCAACAGGGGAGAAAAAAGGTGGGGATAGGTAAAATCGTATCCTAGAGAAGGGTCTAGGTTGGTACGATGATGACGGTGGTGGTGGTGGTGGTGTATGTCGAGAGGAGGAGCGAAGAGGGCAACGTGAACGAAAACGGTAAGGGGTGGTGCACAGAGAGCAGCAGGAAAGATAAAAAGAGGGCTGTTCGGTGTGTAGAGGGGGTAACCAAGAAAGCGAGGGGCTGAGCTGGAGAAGGGAGGAAAGGCTAGATGGAGAAAGAGATAGAAAGGAAAGGTAGGGAGATCGAAACGGCGACTCAGTCCATCTGTCCGGTGTTTTGTCCAAGCGGCGGCAGAGGCACTAGACAAAAACTCACCTAACCCTTCCTTGATTACAATGCCGGCAAAAAGCGAAATACTAACCGCTGCCGCCGCCGCCGCTGCCGTTGCCGTTGCCGTTGCCGTTGCCGTTGCCGCGCGAGAACGGCCGCTTCTAAGAAACTAGACTCGTTTTTGCGTACCATCGGAAGAGCGTCCGCACCCGTGAGCTATCGGACAAAGAAGCTATAGCACTCGTTCGTTCTCCCCTTCACCGCGATCCCGAACGTCTTTTACCCTGGACCAACCCCCCTCATCACTGATAGCTCTCCACCGCATCTAGCATCGCTGCTGCCTCACCGCCTTTCTTACCCTATCGTGATGCTTTCTCTTTCGCTTTTCCTCTTCGCTTACATGCCTCCATCCTCCTGTTTCTTCTCCCCTTATCCATTACCCACCAGCACTTATCGATTCTACTTTCCTTCGAACCTTTGATACTTTCGGCCAACGTAACTTCTTCGTATCGGTACTAAAGGAATTATCTTCTTTTATTAGAACCTCGACCGTCCAAGTTAGATATCTGGGTACACGGGATAAGAATACAAGTTTAATGAATGGAAAGGAGTAGAAACGTTAACCAATTTTCTAACGGTAAGAAAATGAAGTGTCATAGGAGCGTGTCTCTGGTGAAAAGCGAGGGATCGTTAGCGGAGAGAAAAGTCGGTGGTGACGAGAAGACAGCGCAGACGCTGTGTTCCCAGGGAGGCTGAGGAGGCCACGGTAGGATCAGGTTTTTCTTAGCGCGTCCCTGGTGCGCGGTATTGGATGCTATGCCGTGACGATTCTGCCTCCGGCTCGCGTACGTGTTCCCGGCTAACAAAAACGATTATCCTGTGCCAAAAAAGTTGTTATGTAAATGCACTGCCTGTCCTAGACTGTCGGTCAGAAGCATAGCTACTCTACTTGATCCGGGGGAAGAGACTCATCGATAGAGTGGTATGCAGTTCGAAAATAAATTAACGGCTTCGTAGGATTCTCGTATCGTAGACTGTTACAGATTCAACATTTTTTTCACAAATTTATTCATCCCAATCTGAACGAATAAATAATTTTAATGAATTCCGAAACGTCAAACAACTGGATCTCTGTTACCGTTTCAATACATCATTAGACTACTTCTGTCGTATTACATTATGTACTCGGTAATATTATGTCACGACGTGACAAGCTTAACTTGCAACGTAACGTGACGTAACTGACGTAAGATAGTTACCGCGTAATCGTTTAGAATGATAACGGTAACTTTTTAAAATAGCAGCATGTCATGTAACATTGTTCCCTTTCTATTTCTACAAAGTTTCATAAGGGATATGTTACCAAAACCGTTCGATTCGTTATGTACGATGGTATCGCATTGTAAGTGAAATAAGGCAATCGGGAGATGAGTGTCTCAGTAGAAAAATCCACATATCCCTTTGGTTCTCGTTGCTGCAGGGCCAACGTCAGAAAAATCTCGCGGAACGAGTCACCCCGCTGCTGTCAGGGACTTACTCGTATCTCGGTCGGTGTATATAAGCGTGAGACCGGGCCTCAGGTTCGTAATAAGACCTGACGGCCAGGTTTTTCAGCATCGCTCTACCGTATTGCTCCGTATCTCCTTCTGCATTTCTTCTCTCTTTCGTTCTCTCTTGGCTTCCTGTCACTCTCTTTTTTCCCCTCCTCCTTCCTCTCTCACTCTTTCTCTCCTCATCCCCTAGACATATACATCTCTCTCTCCCTCTCTTCCGTTTTATCTTCTTTCCCTTTGTTTTAATTTCTATCTTTTCCTCTTTGTTGCTCCTCCACAGTTCTTTCTTCGGGACACTCTCGCTGCCCCCGTCGTCGCGGCGTCTGATGCCATGCCAGCGGTACCGGTATTAATTTATACGCCGTACGTGTGTGCACGCCGCTTTTTCTTACAGTTCCTCGAAATTTGCAAGAAACTAGTCGGACACCCTAGCGGCTCGACCGTCTGCCACATACTGTTCGCGGTGGCTCGGTTCGCCAGTAAGCCTCTTGCTGAACGCCTCATGAACCCACAATCGATTAAGAAAAGATTCACCCTTTCATTTCGAGGAATTCAGGCAGTTTGGAATGCCGGGATTAAAAAGAACACGAATACGAGACCGAATTCAATTTTTCGAACAATCTCCCTTTTCCTTGGATCTTAATTATTAATGAGATAGCCTTGAAAAATCGTGGGAAATCATTGATTTAATTATATTTGAATATTCAGTATGCAACATATTATGTTTTGAATGAATTTAAAAAAGGATTCCGTTAAATTGTTTAGTGGTACAGACATCAGTGCCTCAGAACGAAGCAGAACTGCAACTATACAGAGTGATGCAACGTGCTTCTTTGTTGGGCTATTATGATACTCTTCTAGAAATGGGTAAATATTTATTAATAATTATAAATCAAATTCAAATTCTATCAGTCTTTTATGTTTTTAAATATACGTAAAGGTGTTTTGTTAAATAATAAAAGAAAAAATGGCAGAGAAACCCCGGTGTGTTATACAAAATATTTTAGGTGGTGACGACGTCCAGCAATTATGCGATGCTGGAGAAGAGGAGTTTCTAGAAATTATGGCATTGGTTGGTATGGCGAGCAAACCTCTTCATGTCAGGAGACTTCAAAAAGCTCTTCAGGAATGGCTGACAAATCCTTGTAAAGTACCACAGTATTGAACTGAAACTTATTCAAAAATATCTTGGATATCATTCAACTAATTCTTTTAACAATCACAATAGCGTTAATTGCATTTTGTTCCAGCACTTTTTCAAACACCGGTTGTACCAACAAATGCTACGTGTAAAAATCCAGGAAGCATAGGATTCCCTTGCGCGAGTCCCAGGCCGCAGGTACAGAATCTTCAGGGTTTCACGACAACTTCGCAAACAGTAACCGCTACCCCTTACGTTTCGTCGCATGTATCATTAACGCCATTGCCATGCAGAAGTACCAGCCCTATTGTATCTGTAACGAGTGTAACAGCACCAGTCGCTTCAACGACTTTTCGACAGAGTCCAAGCCCTAACACGTCTTTACCTTACGCAACGTCTCACAGCCCTGGTGTATTACAAGTACGTTTCATACTACTTTGTTCTAGGCACATGAAACAAGAAGTTGTATTCAAAAAACAATGTTATTTTTACAGGTAGGAACATGCGAGTCTTCCTGTGGTAGTGGCACAACACCAAGTCCTAGCGGTGGCGGTGGTGCCCCTGCGAGTCCGACCCAGCCAACTCCAACCCTTTTACAATCACAAATACAAAGACTCGCTGAAGCCGCTGAAAGACTTGCTGCTACTATTCGACCGGTTGATCCAAAACCACATAATGTTAAGAAAAAGATTTGCAAAAATTTAGAGGTATATCAACAGTGTCGAATTTTTAATATTGTCTAATTGGACTTAGGTATACAACTGTGTCACTTTTAGATAGTAATGGCTATGCCTGATAGCGATCCGCGTAGAATGGAAGAAATTAGGAAATATGCAGCAATTTATGGAAGATTTGACTGTAAGAGGAAACCAGAGAAACCATTGACATTACATGAGGTGTCAGTAAATGAAGCTGCTGCACAAATTTGCAGGTTCGTACCTGCCCTTCTTACTAGAAGAGATGAACTGTTTCCTTTGGCCCGGCGCGTTGTGAGAGATTCTGGGTATCATTATTCGAAAAGTCATTAGTAAGTACTTTTAGTGTGTATCAAATGTTGTTAATCGTATTAGATATCTAACATTCAAAGGTTGAAAATTAATATAAAGGTGAAAATAGTTTGAGTTACCGCCTGCTGATCTTATTTTTCAGATATATAAAATCGAATAAAGGTAAACTTATTCATTATTGTATTGTTGAATACATTCATTTCAAATGTTTTAGTTTATCTGTATCGAGGTCGCGTGAAAATGGCGAAGAAAACGAGCCTGAACGTACAAAACGGCAAAAGCTTGAACTCGAGGGTGAGAATGAAGATGCCACCCAGGTTAGCTCACCCCGACCATAAAAATCAGCCATATGCAAATGATTCGGTTTAAAGTTATCACAAACTTTGGATGAAATCAGGGATTTTGGCGTAAATGCATCTTCTTAATATTAATACACTTAAAAAAAAAAAAAAAATCAGAGATATTTTAATAATATTTTTAAAACACATTAAAATACTACTGATACATCTCCAAAATTATGATAACTTAACATTGGGATTATACATAGCGAATAAAGTTAATATAGTTAATATAAAATATTTTATGCATCTTAAAAAAGCGTATTCAAAGTCCTTGATGAATTCTCATAGTTGTGATTGTTTTGACGGGGGATCATTGGCATATTAATGAGCTGCTGCACACGCTTGAGCGCTAACCACTAACCATGCATCCAGCACATAAACTACCACTACATTGCACAGGCAGAAAAGGTCAAGTATAGCTTTCGCATAACATGCACGGCTTTGCACTAACTGTTTGTGTATTTCTACTTATTTCTACCTATTTAATTTATTTTATTTCACACTTGTTAGGACTCTATGCTTTGTTCCTGGCGTCCTGACAAGTTGTGCATGATCGTTTCATTATTTCTCATTTTATATACTTATTAACTACAGTAATAACTACCTGTTTTTCTTCTTTACTATCCTATACTATATTTGACACCTCTACTGTCTCTAGCAGTTCATTGTTTTAGGAGGAGTTGGATCTTCGGTGTCCTGAAATAGATATAAATAACTCGACGATGAGAAGACATAGATCATCAAGGTGATTATTTTGAGTTCACTTAGTTAACAAAATATAGCATAGCAAGTGTATAAAGGGTAATAAAATACGATGAATGTTTAATATCTCACAACAAATTATTTTGCAAGTATATATTGATGTTCAGACATTTGCATTGTTTTAGTCCAGTTTGGAGGAAGAAGAATAACAATGGTATGTTCGGTGGAAATATTGAAGAAATCAGCGACTCTGATAGCCAACTCTCATTTTCAAATGAAGAATCTTCATCGATACATGTAAGTAAAACCACTATACTAAACATCCTATCATCTACTTTATTAAAATTATTAAATGACTATTTTCAGGATACTAATGAAGTTGAAGCAGATAATACTGATAAAGAGAGTGATTTCAATCTCAAGGTATATTTTTGTTCGGTCACTGTTACTTTTTCTCGTAACGAAAAATTTTTATTTTAATATTATCGTTTTTTGATATAAATGTTGCATTTTCCTATAGTACTAGAACTATGATTTTGTTAACAATAGGTAATAGCCTCGCGTGGAGACAATATAATTGCAGTAGCAAATCCTGCATTAATGGAATGTAATCATCCCATAAAAGAAGAACCAACGGACGAAAAACCTACGCTGTGATATTGTTGAAAATATTGTATTATCTTATTTAGTATCATTCCTAAAAGTGTATTTCAGCTTGTATTAGAATTACAATTATTATCATTATCTTTACTTGATTATTGCCATGTTATTTACTATGATTCTTATATTAATTGTTGTTATAATTGTAAAAAATTTCTTTATTAGAAACTATTCCAAGAACAGAATTACTTAATTTTTAACACTGTTTCTGTATGTTAATACGATATTGATGACCATGCAATTTTAATAAAATCTTGGCATACATTATGTTAAACTATAAAAATACCTTTAGACATTGTATATACTGTATTTGTTTAAATCAAAACGAAACATATACTGACTGAAATATAATTAGATACTGTATAATAGTAAAGCTTGTAAATATTAAATATTAGAGCAATTACACATTTTTTATTCTTTCTACTGTATTTTTCAAACAATTTACATATATGTTAATGCATAATAAATATATACAAAAGAAATTATTTCATGTTCTAACAAAATGTATAATTACTGCAAAATCTAAACCTTCAATATACTATAAATAAAAATGCAGTATAAAAGACACAAAATAGTTAAATAAAATTAAAATTGCCCCTAAAAGCAGCCAGTTTCTGTACTCACTGATTTCAATAAAGGCACCCAGCCGTGCAGGAACAGCGACGGTGGGGGATTGACCCAACAAATTAGCCACTTTTGGTTGAAGCGCGTGTCTTGTGACAGAAGGGGGGGAAAAAATTTGTTTTCGACCGTGGCGCCATCTCTACAAAAGCGGCGCAAACTATTCAACAACTTACCGATAAATTTTTCTAAACGGGAACACTAGCGCCATCTGTCGAGAAACAGCGGAAGAAACTTGCCGAGTAGTTTCAGCGATTTTCGTATAGATGGCGACAGTAGTTCCTGACCTGGGGTGTCTGTGACCCCAAAATCATGATTTTTTAAAAACGAAAAACATGTCCGATATTTTGTATCTCTAGTCACTAGTATAGGTTATATTTACCATTCATATAAAAACGCACGTGGTAAAAAGGGGTAACATTAATCAACGTGTTTTATTTCAATAATGGCTTTAAAAGCAAAGAAAAAAAGTTTAGCGGACAAGATTAATACATTAATTACCACGACACCAATAAATTTTGGTTCTGATGACGAGGCTGAAGATACAAAGGCAAAAGTGGTTGAGCGCTATGACGAAAGCGATGATTCGGAGGGTAATTTTCAAGTTTCAGAGATACGTAAACGAAATGTGGATCCTCTGGATCAGATAGACGAAAGGTGAATAAAAAATTTTATTTTTTTATTCTAACCCATTTCGTCAACTAATATTTTTATTTATATTGTAGATACAAAGGTAAGAAAGTTTCAAGAAAGGATGTATATGATAATGAGGATGATAGCATGGAAGAAGAAAGTAAAAATGAAATAAGTGATAATGAAGATGAAGATGAAGATGATGAAGGTAATGATGATGATGATGATGATGATGATGATGATGATGATGATGATAATATTAGAGTTGATGATAGTGAATACGAAGATAAAGAAAACAGTAATGAAAGTAATAATTCAGATGACATGAGCTATGATAGTGAAACTGATTTGAAACAGCATTCTGAAGATGAACATAAAAGTATTAGCAGCAAAGAAGAAAAAGATTTTAAAACAATGTCTCATACAAACATGAGAGAAGATATAGATAAAGGCAACTGTGTTCGAAGTCAATTAAAACTTTGGGAAAATATGTTAGAAATAAGAATAAAGTTACAGAGATGTTTAAATACAAGCAATCAAATGCCTCAGCATGATGTTTATACAAATTTTAAATCAGATACAGAATATACAAAGAAGGCAGATGAAGCCAAGAGTCAACTAAAAGCATTACTAAACAATATGTTACAGTTGCAAAGTTTTCTGCTAAAACAGTATCCTGAAACAAAGAATCTGTTGACACAAAATAATAAAAGAAAAGCTGAAGAAAACATAGATAAGGAGATGAAAGATTTAGATGATTCAATGGATGAAGAAATTCCTTCTGATACAGAAGATGAAAATGAAGATAAAGACACGTTAGTTCCAGCCGAAAATGTTGCAGATTTTGATGAACATTCGTTCAGGAAAAAATTGAAACTTAATAATTACGAAAAGATATTAAATGACAATCATAAGTTGTATACAGATTATAGAAATTCAGTTATACAGAAATGGAATGAAAAAACAAAGATAGCTACTGGTAAAGTAGGGAAAGCTATGAACGAAACTACCTTGAAGCAAATTGAATTTGCTTTAAGCGATAAAGAAAAAACACGTAAAAAGACCCGATTGAAACGTTCTGAATACAAAATTATTGGCAAGGCAGAAGCAACAGACGATAACGAGGGTAGAAGGGTTCAAGAATATGATTCTGAAATTTATGACGATGACGATTTTTATCATCAACTCTTAAGAGATTTAATCGAATACAAATCAAGCGATATTACGGATCCTATACAACTTAGCAAACAATGGATTCAATTACAAAATATGAGAAGTAAAATGAAAAGAAAAATAGATACTAAAGCTACTAAGGGTAGAAGAATAAGATATAATGTACATAACAAATTAGTCAATTTTATGGCTCCCATTACGGTAAACGATACATGGACGGATCATGCGAAAGATGAATTATATAGCTCTTTGTTTGGTAAAATTAAACCAATAAATAGGGAAGTAGATCGTTGAGTATACTTTAATAAAAACGTATAAGACTTATAGAAATTTTATAATGTAATATAAGAGGAAATTATAATTGAAGTTGTATAACAAAATAATGTATTTATACTTTTAAAAATCTTTCATATAATAATATAAAAGACTGTCATTATGTATGTATGTATAATAGAATATTTTGAATTGCAAATAGTTATTGTTCTCTTTTGTAAATAAAATAAATCCACCATTTACTTTTAGTCCCACATTATGTCATGAAATATAAGTAAATATGAAAAAACCTTTATGGTTTGTTCTAGTCCCTCTATAAGCCCAAACAACGTTACAGTCGGTATAGTAGATTCCTTATATTTTTCTCGAATTTACCATTTTTTCATTCATTACTCATACTGCTTTTTGCCTCCTTTTACTGTTACATCAAACTCGCATATCGTATGCAACACTTCTGTTACATCGGTCATGTGTTCCCCTTTTAGTCGCCTCTTACGACAGGCAGGAGTTACCGTGGCCGTATTCTGATCCCCGAGCCACAGGGAGTAACTTTTTAGCGCAGGATGAACGAATAATAAAACCAGGATTCTATCTTTGGTGTTTAGCTACTTCATGGTGTAGGTGCATCTGACTTTCTTCCATTTGATTTGACCGGTGATTACGTTCAAGAAAAACAGCAGTAACATGGATTGTAGTTGTCAAAATTCAAACTTCAATGCTAAATATTTACTTGGTCAATTGAATACAGCCAGAAAAGAAATTAATAATTTGAGGTAGGTAATTATTATAATATTGATAGGATATTATAATATTGTATTTGTTAATCACATGTAAATATTCTTTATTATTTACAGACAACAAATAAAAAGTCTTCGATACATACATGAAAAGGATATTGATACCATAAAGCATTTATTAGAATCATTCAGAAATGAACCTTCTGCATCACGAACAAAAGTTATAGGTCCAGATGATGTGAAACCTAGTACTAGTACCGATGATGAAGCTATAAAATTAAAGCCTATCGGGGTAATATCTACTTGGTTTCCTAGTAAACGTGGTACTCCTAGACAAACAGGAATTTGTGGAAAAGTACCAGGAAAGCTATTATTATATAATTCAGTATTTACTAATCCTGATCATGCACTTGAAGGACTACAAGATTTTTCACATATGTGGTAAAATAACTTTAGCATAATATCTTTGTCTATCTTTACTTGTTACAATATAATTAATTTGAAATCATCTTTATTTTCAATAGGGTTTTATTCTACTTCCATAGAAACGATTCAACGCACGTTCGCGCTAAAGTTGCGCCGCCAAGATTAAACGGCACAAAAACCGGTGTATTTTCTACGCGTTCCCCTCATCGTCCATGTCCCATCGGTTTAAGTTTAGTCAAGATTACAAGAATAGAGAACCATACAATTTATTTCGAAGGGGTGGATATGGTAGATCAGTCGCCTGTATTAGATATAAAACCTTATATACCTCAATACGATAGTCCGTTAGCTTTCGATAAGTCAAATAACAGATCGCAAGAATCCAGTATAAACGACGCGTTGGGATCTATCGAAGAGACTACCAGAAACCAAACCTGTAGCACGTTCAGTGCGAATATCAATGTTGCGGATGAAACGAGGAATCTACTTTCAGATTCTTATTACAGAAAAAGCAGCAGTAAAAGTAGTCAAGAAACAGATATATCTAGAGACGAAGAGATTGCTTTAAGATTGCAAGCTGAGGAATTTCAGAGGAATTCGAATTTTGAAAATTATAACAATGTGAGACATTTTTTTGAATTAAGCGACGTCAATGTACACAATAATAGCATATTACAACATAATATAGATGTAACAGGAATACATAGATTATCTCATACATTTACTAACACATTGTCTGATACAAGATCAAGCTTGAATACATCTGTTGGACATAATACAATTTCATCGAATTTGGAACAGCAGCCTGAAAGTTTAATTGATATAAATAGTAGACTACAAAATATTAACGTTACTGGTCATACTAATGTCGAGGCGGCATATACGTCAAGAAATAATTATGTAGAAACACATGCATCTCGCTCGAGGCTTTTAGACGGTGCAGACGGACCAAATACCGTTTGCGGTACTGATATAGACTTAATTCAAAGACGATCGTTAAGTTCGAGGATTGATAATTCTCCTGTAAGAATGGGAGTGAGAGAAGCTCCTGACGGAGAAGAAGGTTTCGAACCACAAAACCTTATTCCTTCGCAATCTTTACCGAATAGTCAAGTAATAAGAACTACGTCAGACAGTAGCTTGCTAGATAGCGCAAATACTAATTTAGTATTCACTTCCGACTCGGGAAACGCTGAAAATAGAGAGGCAGAAACTAATTCTTCATCAGAAGTAAGAATTCCAGATTGGATATCAAGACCTCGAACGCCTCTATGCGTGGTATTTAACGATCGTGCTCTGATTCAATTAAACGAGATTTTAGGAACGAAAATTAATGACCAAAAGGTGGCTATTGAAAATGTACTTCGTGAAGATCCGAGATCGGTGTACCTAAGACAAAGATGGGGTAGTCAGTTTTATACTTTCTTAAT